AATGAAAATGTCATAAAAATGTCATAGTATAGTAAGGCATAAAAATTCATAAAATCATGACACTATAAGTAAGGCATTAAAAAACTTCAACAAAACGTTCATAGTATAAGGCATAAACGTCATAAAAAACGACATAGTGTAGTAAGCATGAAAATGCATAAAAATTCATAGTTAGTAAGCATAAAAATCATAGTGTAGTAAGGCATAAAAAGTCATAAAAACGTCATAGTATAGTAAGGCATATAAAAGTCATAGTCATAGTAAGGATAGCATAAAAGTCATAGTATAGTAAGGCATAAAAAGTCATAAAAACGACATAGTATTAGTAAGGCATGATTCATAAAGTCATAGTTATAGTAAGGCATAAAAAAATCATAAAAAACGTCATAGTATAGTAAGGCATAAAAAGTCATAAAAACGACCATAGTATAGGTTAAGGCATAAAAAGTCATAGTATAGTAAGAGCATAAAAAAATCATAAAAATTCATAGTATAGGTAATCATAAAAATCATAAAAACGTCATAGTATAGTGGTAAAAGCATAAATACATAAAAACTCATAGTATAAAGTCATAAAAAGTCAAAAAATGACATGTATAGTAAGGCATAAAAAGTCACAGTATAGTCAGGCATAAAAAGTCATAAAAAGCGTCATAGTATAGTTAGGCATAAAAAGTCATAAAAACGACATAGTATAGTTAGGCATAAAAAGCATAAAAAAACTATAGTTATAGTAGCATAAAAAATCATAGTATAGTTAAGGCATAAAGAGTCATAAAAATGACATAGTATAGTAAAGGCATGAAAAGTCATAGTATAGTAAGGCATTAAAAAGTCATAAAAACGTCATACGTAAAGTAAGGCATAAAAAAGTCATAAAAACGTCATAAGTAAAGTAACGCATAAAAAAGTCATAAAATTGTGTCAAAGTATAGTTAAGGCATAAAACGTAAAAAAATGTGTCATAGTTATAACAAGGGACCAAAAAAGTCATAAAAAGACATAGTATAGAAAGGCATAAAACGTCATAGTATAGTAAGGCATAAAAAAGTCTCAAAAAACGACATAGTATAGTAAGGCATAAAAAAGTCATAGTAATAGTAAGGCATAAAAAGTCATAGTTATAGTAATGGCATAAAAAGTCTATAAAAACGCCATAGTATAGAAAGGCATAACGTATAGTATAGTAAGGCATAAAAAGTCTCAAAAACGACATAGTATAGTAAGGCATAATAAAGTCATAGTATAGTAAGGCATAAAAGTCTTAAAAACGCCATAGTATAGTTAGGCATAAAAAGTCATAAAAACAACATAGTATAGTAAGGCATAAAAGTCATAGTATAGTAAGGCATAAAAAGTCTTAAAAACGACATAGTATAGTAAGGCATAAAACAGTCATAGTATTAGTAAGGCATAAAAAGTCTTAAAAACGACATAGTATAGTAATGGCATAAAAAGTCATAGTATAGTAAGCATAAAAGTCATAAAAACACATAGTATAGTAAGGCATGAAAAAGTCATAGTATAGTAAGGCATAAAAAGTCATAGTATAGTAAGGCATAAAAAGTCACAGTATATAAGGCATAAAAAGTCATAAAAACGTCATAGTATAGTAAGGCATAAAAAGTCATAAAAACATCATAGTATACGAAGGCATAAAAAGTCATAAAAACGACATAGTATAGGTAAGGCATAAAAAGTCATAAAAAAACATAGTATTAGTAAGGACATAAAAAGTTCTCATAGTATAGTAGGCATAAAAAGTCATAAAACGACATAGTATAGTTAAGCATAAAAAGTATAAAAACAACATAGTATATAGTAAGGCATAAAAAGTCACAGTATAATAAGGCATAAAAAGTCATAAAAACGTCATAGCTATAGTAAGGCATAAAAAGTCATAAAAACATCATAGTATACGAAAGGCATAAAAAGTCATAAAAAACGACATAGTATAGTTAGGGTAAAAAGTCATAAAAACGAACATAGTATAGTAAGGCATAAAAAGTCATAGTATAGTAAGGCATAAAAAGTCATAAAAACGACATAGTATAGTTAGGCATAAAAATCATAAAACGACATTAGTATAGTTAGGCATAAAAAGTCATAAAAACAACAACTATAGTAGCATAAATCATAGTATAGAAAGGCATAAAAAGTCATAAAAACGTCATAGTATAGTAAGGCATAAAAAATCAATAATAAAAACATAGATTAAGTAAGGCATAAAAAAGTCACATTATAGCAATAAGGCATAAAAAGTCATAAAAAACATCATTAGTATACGAAGGCATAAAAACGTCATAAAAACGTCATAGTAAAGTAAGCCATTAAAAAGTTCATAAAAATGTCATATAGTATAGTAAGGCATAACAAAGTCATAAAAAATGACATAGTATAGTAAGGCATAAAAAGTAAGTCACAGTATTAGTAAGGCATAAAACCAGTCATAAAAAAGGCATAGTATAGTTAGGCATAAAAAGTCCAATTAAAAAACGACATGTATATATAGGGCATAAAAGTCATAAATAAAAGCATATATATAAGCATAAAAAAAGTCATAGTGATAGTAAGGCATAAAGAGTCAATAAAACAGACATAGGTATAAGTAAGGGCAAAAAGTCATAAGCTGAGTATAGTAAGGCATAAAAAGGTCCCACTAAAAAAACATAGTAAGTAAGGCATAAAAGATAACGTCATAGTAAAGTAAGCATACAAAAAGTTCATTTAAAATGCAAAGTACTAGTTAAGCATTAAAACAGTAAAAACATGGTCGTTCTTAAGATAAACGTCACAGTATCAAAAGGGACAAAAAAGTGCATAAAAAGTCATAGTATAGAAGAGCCATAAACAACGTCATAAAAAAAGTCATAGTATAGAGCATAAAAAGTCTCAAAAACGACATAGTTACTAGCGTAAAGCATAAAACAAGTCAGAGTATAGTGTAAGGCAGTAAAAATCATAGTATAGTAAGGCATAAAAAGTCAAAAACACGTCGCATAGTATAGAAGGCAAAAATCATGAAAAACGCTCATAGATATAGTAAGGGCATAAAAAGTCTCAAAAACGACATAGTATAGTAAGGCATAAAAGTCATAGATATAGTTAAGGCATAAAAGTTTTAAAAACGCCATAGTATAGTTAGGCATAAAAGTCATAAAAAACAACATAGTTATAGTAAGGCATAAAAGTACATAGTATAAGTAAGCATTTTAAAAAAGGTTCTTAAAAACGACATAGTATAGTAAGGCATAAAAAGTCATAGTATAGTAAGGCATAAAAAGTCTTAAAAACGACATTAGTATAGTAAGGCATAAAATATGTCATAGTATTAGTAAGGCATAAAAAGTCATAAAAAACATAAAAACAACATAGTATAGTAAGGCATAAAAAGTCATAGTATAGTAAGGCATAAAAAGTCATAGTATAGTAAGGCATAAAAAGTCACAGTATAATAAGGCATAAAAAGTCATAAAAACGTCATAGTATAGTAAGGCATAAAAAGTCATAAAAACATCATAGTATACGAAGGCATAAAAAGTCATAAAACGACATAGTATAGTAAGGCATAAAAAGTCATAAAAAAACATAGTATAGTAAGGCATAAAAAGTCATAGTATAGTAAGGCATAAAAAGTCATAAAAACGACATAGTATAGTTAAGCATAAAAAGTCATAAAAACAACATAGTATAGTAAGGCATAAAAAGTCACAGTATAATAAGGCATAAAAAGTCATAAAAACGTCATAGTATAGTAAGGCATAAAAAGTCATAAAAACATCATAGTATACGAAGGCATAAAAAGTCATAAAAACGACATAGTATAGTTAGGCGTAAAAAGTCATAAAAACGACATAGTATAGTAAGGCATAAAAAGTCATAGTATAGTAAGGCATAAAAAGTCATAAAAACGACATAGTATAGTTAGGCATAAAAAGTCATAAAAACGACATAGTATAGTTAGGCATAAAAAGTCATAAAAACGACATACTATAGTAAGGCATAAAAAATCATAAAAACGACATAGTATAGTAAGGCATAAAAAGTCACAGTATAATAAGGCATAAAAAGTCATAAAAACATCATAGTATACGAAGGCATAAAAAGTCATAAAAACGTCATAGTAAAGTAAGGCATAAAAAGTCATAAAAATGTCATAGTATAGTAAGGCATAAAACGTAAAAATATGTCATAGTATAACAAAGGGACAAAAAAGTCATAATATAGTAAGGTATGAAAACATAAAAAGTCATAGTACAGTAAGACATAATTAGTCATAAGGTATAAAAAAAGTCATAGTGACATTTTCATGGGATTTTTCGTAAGAAATTCAACTCATACTTATATTTACTTTACTATATTTACTCCTGCTAGCAACCTGACTGCTAGCCTACAGAAGACAGAAGCCAGGGTTAGCTTGTCAGTTTAGTTGAATTAGTTGACATTCTAAGGTGATGTTAAGTATCACTGTGATATTCTCACATGACATGAGCCTTTTGGATTTCAACACTGTAGCCCAGAGAAAGTTGTCCACTTGGACAGAAGATGTGCAGCAGCACTAAATAAATCAATGCATAAATTAATGATAAGGAAATTGGCAATTGGATAGTTACCAATCCTTCTCTATACTCTGTGATGTCTTTTTCTTATGTCACTAAGCCTACTGCTACTACTACTATCTGATAGTTTTACCCCCTCAAATAAACCTAACCTACCTTACAGCTTCATAGCCAAGTACAGTAGCACTTATCTGTTTTTTCTACTGCTTGAGCAGAACTGCTTGAGATCCCAAACAATGTAATTATATATTATATAAAAAAGAAAAAATATATATAAATAAAGACCTTGTGCCCTAAGCAGCTGTTTAGATCGCTTATGCCTTGGCCGGCCTTGGACTAAACTATAAAACAGTTTATCAAGAAAATAATTGACCGATCAATCAATGATGAACACACACAAAGGAACCACGCACAGCCCACAAATTCAGTAAAAATATGATTTCATTCATGATATATACAAAATACAAATACAATTTATGTACTAAAATGTACACACTCAAAATTCATTAAGCCTCGCCAGTGTTTACATTCAGTAAAAACGAAATTCACACTGATAATCATCCATTTTGGAGAAAGAAAGGAAAAAAATACTCGCTCTCAGAAATGTAAACATACACAGTGATCCATATTTACAAGAGAACAAAACAAGCTCTGGAGTGGACGAGAAGGAAACACAGACCGCTGGGAAAACTGGGGTGTTCAGCTACCATCTCTGTCCTCCAGTCGTCTCACACATGGCCTCACCAATTCTGATCCGTGACAGCACAAACATGCCAGTGATTTCAAGACGAAAAATAGCTTATTTGACATGAAGTAAATGGGGAAAAAAAGCACGTCAATGCATAAAATACACAGTCAAATGTTTAGGTAAGTACCAGTGATCACAAAAAATAAGCTGTTGTGTTGAATATAATGAACATTTGAGCCATTTTGGTTCATAGTGTGTACTCTGAGTCTCTGTCTTTGGGTTTTATTAAAATTAGAAACCACTTGTTTTAGTGAGCAAATACTCGATTTAACTTCTAGAGAAGCAACATAAGATTATGTCAGACATTATATGCTGGTCAGAACTGAAACAGAGAAAGCTATTGGTTTAGTAAATACTGTTCAGCTGATTGAAGTTATACAAATAGTAACATCTCCCTTACAAAAATACACAGAAATCTTGATCGCAAAATCCTTCTTTAAAAATAGCAGTAATTCCATATCTATTATTTTACTTACAAGGTTTTTTTTTTAAGACTTCTACAATAAAGCGTGAGAAAAATAACTTTTCTGTTCTGATAAAAATGTTCAAAAGAATAGAAATAAATTATTAACAATACAAGTGTGATTCAGGTTATTTGTGTGTCCTGCTTAAGTCTGGAGAAACGTCTTCTTGTGAAGGTGAGGTTTGGTTGGAGATGAACTCCTCAGGTGAAGCAGGTGACTTTGTGTGGCTTTGAATCAGTCGTGGGTTGGTGGCTCTCTGTGGACATCAGAGATCAACAGAGTAGACTAACAGGCTGTTCCCCGAGTCAGAAACATGAGCAGCACAGATGGCAACGAGAAGGGAAATCGGGGTGAGGTGTGTTTGACTGTATCTCCAGAAACTAAGCAACAGTCCTTTTAGAGTCTTTTTTTTTCCTCAGATGAACTTAGTTGAGTCTCTTTTGCTGATGAGGACTTCCAGCAGCCGCAGTTTGGCTTTAATGTGCTTGTATTCGTTGTACTCCACTGCCAACGGGGAGCGGTCCTCCTTCTGCACATTTCTATGGGAACAAGACATGGGTGGAAGACAACAAACATTAAGAAATGGAGAAGGTTCAGCTGTGGAAAACCCATTATGCATTATGCCTCTGTTATATAACCTGAACAAATTCTTCTTTTCTTTTACCTTCCATTTTGTCTAAAGAACTGGTCCTCAAACTCTTTCAGGTTTTTGCGGATTCTCTTCTTCTCCTCTCTGGTCTCTTGAAGCTGCTCCAGAAGTTCCTGTCTGCGAGAGAAAGAGCAGAAATATTTAAATATCTTGCATTAAAATATTTAAATATGTTGAACAAGTGGTGGACAAAGTACTCAAATCCTTTGCTTGAGTAAAAGTACTAATACAGAGAAGTAAAAATACTCCATGACAAGACAAAATCCTACTTAGTAGTATAAATATTTTAAGTAAAATATACTACTATATGCTGTGTGAATACTTGGTTTGTGTTGTCTCTTTTCAGTAACTTACATGGTAGCAGAGTGAAGGTTAGACAGCCTCATATCCGTTGTGTTTTTAGACGGTGAGAGTTCATCCACTGGTGAAATGAAACCGTCCACTTCCTCGTCCATGTGGTCCAGGAAGCTGAGCACGCTGAGGTCGGGCCGGACGGTCACAGTGAACTGAGTCTTTGAGTCTCCGTCATCCTCAGAGCCGTCCTCCTCCTCCTGCAGGAGCACAGAGAGGTCAAACGGTGGCCGAGGCTCAAAGCGCCACATCGTGCAGTGAGTGGTGTTACTGAGATAAACCCAGGGCTGTCGGCCGGGCCTCCAGGCTCAAACACTGCAGTGCATGAGGGTCGTGCAGTGTTAGTCATCAATGGTTATAAATCATCACGGTACAGCAGCAAAATGTCCTTCGATGCTTGTGATTCACGTCTATACTCAAAACTATGTATGCAAGGATTTAAAGAGCGCAGTGGACTAGAAGACGCACAGTCCCCTTATACCAGTTTGATGCTTCTGAAAGTCCTGAACCAGATATAAACAACCTTCAATACACTGAGAGCAAAGATTTAGTTCTACTGAGATTTGATTACAGTTGGTATTAAAACACACCTAAAGTATCATTCTGCGTCACTGCAACATGGGTCTTATTTTTGTAGCTTTGGCTGTCATATCTATTGTAAAGTAGTTACTAATATCCATTTTAAACTGGATGTTATTTTACCCTGTGAGTAATATAAAAGTGGATACTAGTTCAGTATTTCTTTGGATGATTGGGTTGTCATTGGTTATGTGGCAGAAGCTTTTACATTTCAATCATTTGTCCATCACTTTTAGATACTTACTGACAAGTTTTTAATGCACTGTCAATACACCTGGTGTTCAGGTTGGCAGAAGGTGTATGTGCAGGGAGCCTATGGTAGCTGGTAGCTTATTGGTTATTTTAACAATGAATGCAATGAATGCAATGAATGCAATACAAACCCAAAGTTCATATTATGTAATTACACTGGAAAACTGACCTGTAACAGTTTAGGTCATAATTATAAAGTTTGTGTCTATCTAAAACTATGACTGCTTGTATTTTTTGCCCCTTTGGTCTTCAATCTCACCACATCACACATCTCACATCTCAGCAATCAACTGAGTGGGCACAATGTAAAACGAAAATGACAAAATGATGATAAAATAAGACCCAAGTTCATTATCCTTAATAACAGAGCATTTACTGTTTCTATATTTGAATCAAAATCACATGATTCAAACATCACGTCCAGGCAGCTACTGATTCAACATGTCTACAGATGCTTGTCTACAGATACTGGTGGCAGAAAACAGGCAACTGCCCAATCAACAGGCAGCAATCAGGCTCATTAGAGGGGTGGATGGTAGTAAATAAGGGGGAGGTGGGGTTGGAGGGTAGTAGGGCGGGGGGCGAGGAGGGAGAACTGGCGTCTGATTATTGAAGCAGCAGCAGCTCTTCACCTTGATATCATCGAAGAAGAGCGCGGTTTCGCCCTCGATAATGGGCTGAAGGAGGGGACCTCGGCGCTTGCTGGAGGGAGAGCCCTGTGGTGACGGTCAAGAAGGAGGAGTTAACCACGCTGAGACACTCACTTTGGTGTTTGCAACGAGGAAACGCCAAACACTTCCTCCCAGTTTTCACTGAGTTCTGCGTCTGAACTTTTAAAGTAAAGGGTTTTCCTTGTTTACTTTCTATTCTTCTATTTGTCCACGATAACAAGTTTTTTTCCACAAAAGATTCAAATGACAATAATGTTGAAAATTTTCCTAATCAGCAACTTGAAAAATGGACGGAAATTTAGAGTGCAACCTGAAGCCTCACATAGATCCCAATATCACAACATATTTGCTTATTTTGTAGAGGGAGTGTACAAAACAGAACAATAAAGTAGGGAAAAAAAACATACAAATAAATGTGTCTAAATTTAGTTCAGTTAGCTAATTAAGACTTTTTGAGCGTAAACTCTCAGTTACCTTTGGTAAGAGACCAACATCATCTGACTTGACCTCTCATGAATAATAAAACTGCTGCACCATAACTTCTATTGTACAGAATAATCTATAGCAGTGGTCCCAATTTGCATGATGGGGATTAGAGGTAGTGCATTATATAATGGATATACTGTTGGTACATAATGCAAATCATATCTTACATAATAAAATGGTTATTTAATAGTTAAGTACATGAATAATAGGGAAAAGAAAGCGTATACACTACTCTTATAGGCAGAGTTACATATATGTTAACTTACATATATGCAATGAAAACAATATTCAAAGTAGCATTAATAATGCTGCCTGTTTTTCTGTTTCTTATCTTCAATTGAGACTAAAAAGAAATCCTCCTATTATAGGAGAGTTGATCATTCTTACAGTTTCTGACCCTCACCTGCAGCTATCATGCTGTCACTTGCTGTGAACTCTCCTGTCTGCTACCTATAAGCTACTTTACGACCAGAGGATCCACTGAGCCACTAAAGCTGAGCTTAAAGCCTGGAGAGAAGGATAACACGTCTGCCACCAGTTCCAAGCGCGTGTTGGCACTAAAAGCCAATGCGAGCTGGGATTAAGTGTCTGCAGACGTATGGACAGTGCGATGATGATTTGCTGCTCGCTTCTCAGAGAGTGGCAGGACAAACAAGCAGGTGCGGATGAAAAAAAAATAAAAGGGAGGTTAAGATGTGATACTTACAATGACAGGGATGGTGGAGGCTCTGCACAGGATCTGCTTGACCAGGCGATATCTGTCATACAGGGGTTTCATGATTTGCCTCTCGCTTTTGGTGACCTGAAGCAGCAAAAAAGAGAAACAAAGACACCTCGTTAGTTCAGTATTAGTTTCTTTCCGTCGTCCTCTGTCTCCCTGCAGACTAACTCTCTGCAGCACTAACCGTAAAACAAAATGACAGCTAACCCAGATTGGCAAACAACAGCGCTGCAGCCGTTCTTCAGAGCGTGAAGGTCATTAAACACAAACCACCAGGGCTACCCAGTGTGAGGAGGGAGGGTGGTGACAGAAAGTTCAACTGCACTTCCTGATATACAACAATACTAGCTGGGATTAGATGACACAATTATTGCAATTGGATTCAAACAAAGAGCGTGTCAGTTTGGTTATTCTGGGTCACAATCAAGCGGTAAACAAGATTTTCTCTGTTGGGGCCGACACTGCTGGCAGGAGATCAGGCCTGTGGAGTTTGCTGTATCTATCTGAGTGGAGGTGTAGGAGGTGTAGGAGGAGGAGGATGACTTACTGGTCGGCCATGTATGCTCTCGTAGTAGAGGAGAGCTTTCTGCAGGGCTACTTTCTCTGCTCCGATCTGCTCCCGTGTCATATCCTGTGAGCAGGGGACAGGAAGTGGGTCAACACATTGTAGAAATGACCGGAGTTCACTCTCTGTTGCAACACGCGTTCATCCTCATTTGGTTTTACACACACTCACACACCCACACACACCCACACCCACACACACCCACACACACACACACACACACACACACACACACACACACACTCACACACACTTACTTCAGCACCATAATAAATTCAAACCCTGCTGCCTGCTTTAAAACGTCGCCGTTTATCTTACATGTAACATCAGTTTGCTATAGGCGTTTTATTTATCCATCCCCTGTCAGTGTGTAACCTGGACATGGTTGTACCTTGATGTCCTCGGGGCGGTTCACCTCCTCCCTCTTCTCCTGTAGCTTCTTTAAAATGGTCTCCAGGGTGCTCTCCACTGGCGGCTTGGGCACTTTCTCCTGCTGAGGTTTCTTCTCCAGCTGAGAGCCGAAGCTTTTGGGCAGCGTGTTGCTGCGCTGACGGGTCAGAGGAGGCAGGTCCTCTTCAGACTTCAGGAGCTTGTGTTCTGGTTAGGAAGAAAACTACATGTGAGCTTTATTGATTTTAATTTGAATCATCTCATTACAGATGAGTGATGTTCATTTCTATGTCTTACCTTTAAGATCTTTACGAAGCTTGGCCAGTTCATTTACCCATCTCATCACCTCTGAGTTTTCAGCTTTGTCACTGTGGGAAGGCTGCATGGAAAAAAAAGCAATGAAACAGATGAAAACAGATTCTCCTTTCAAAATAAGACAGCAGCACCTATCATTACTGCTCACATGAACATAACTGTATTGACCATAAATCTGAAGTGGAGCTCTGGAAATTGGCCTTGGAAAGAAACAAGCGCAGAGCTCTGTTTCCCATTTAAAATTCATTGTAATGAGTCATCAGAGTCTCCTCAGCTAGTAAATAACCTTGTTTATAGTGTGGAAAAAAGTTTTTAAAGTCAGATTTATTGTGGCAGGGGATTATTTTGATGTTTTTTCTGATGAGAAATGACTTCTTACCCTGTATTTCCGCTCCTCTTCAAACTTCTCCTCAAATCTGTGGATCTTTTTCTTAAGGACATGAATCCTCTTCGTGAGCTGAGCTGAGGTCAACTCCTCTTTCTCATTGTCACAGGAGCCGAGAGATGAACTCCGCCTGCGACTGAAGAGATAAATGATGTTGTTAATATCACTGTCAGCTCCTTCCAACTGCCTCTACGTACTAGACCATGCCAAGTGCCTACCTGACAAACGAGTGTGCATTTGGCGGTGAGGGAGGCACTTCAGTGTCGTCCAGGTACTGCTGGCACTGTCCGTAGGCGTAGAAACGAGGGGACAGCATTGGGTCGCTGTCTTCCTCCAGCAACTGGCGGATCAGTCGTCCTCCCGCGTGAGGGGACAGTCGAGCTTCCTCGCGGTCCATGCTCTCCCTCTGCAGAGACGAGTATGCTGGGACTGGCTCTGAGTGACACACAAACATATACACGCTTTGTGTTAAAATGAGACACTTTGCTTACACTGTTGTCAAACAGAAGATGCACACACACCAAAGCAAACAAAGGACAGGTTAGTCAGGGAATCTTGTTTGGAAATGTTGTGCATGCTGGTCAGCGGACAACAACATGTAGCTCTCCTTGTTAGTGTCACAGCAAATTCCCCATTTTCCCAAAGAGCTCTGTAGCTGCAGAAGAAAAGGATACAACAGAGTCTCCTGCAGAGCTGAACGTACTTTAACTCCAGTATTTAATCTACTTTTTGAATCAGAATACTTTCAAATCTTTTATCAAGTCTAACTGGGATTAAAATTTTTAACCAAAGTTACAAATACCATGGAAGAATTTTTAAATGACTGATTAAATAAATGGATACAAGGGGAATATAGCTACAACTGGGAAATTTTTCCATTTATTGATTAATCTGCAGATTATGTTCTCAAAAAAATCTGTTTTATTTTATGTTCATTTTCAACAAACTGATTTATTAGATTTAGATCTATGCTCTATGCTAATAAAAAGAGAAATCTTTTCAATAACTAATGGGAGTTTTTTTTATTTTTTTTTATATCTAATACTGAATTTATACTTCCCTGTTTTGTAAAGTCTAAGAGTAACATAAAAGATGTGTCAAACATTATGCTTGTTTTCAGGACCGGTTCTCATCATATGGACATCTTGTATTCTCTCTGGTGTTGTGAAAGTCACTGGACATGATGAGGCTCCCTTCCTCTGGGGCTGGACAGTCACAGATGTTGTCCTGAAAATATGGGTAAGACCTGCCCACCCTCCCTCTCTCTGTTCATCCCCTGGTTACAGTCTCTACTCTGGCAATAATTATGTCTGGTGAGAATAGTCATGCAGATACTCCTGACAATCCCTGGGCTATTAATAAAGCCTGGCTCTCTGTGGGATAATGTCAGGGCACGACCCCTGTTGAGAGGTACAGTGACGAGTTTGTATTTTAGTTTCCACTCTGCATGGTGAGGGATAAACCATGCTGATGTGTCTGTTCCAGCACGTGTTCTAGAGAATAGTACACTGTTATAACAAGGAAGGAAAACTCTATTGAAACTGCCAATACATGAGACTCAGCAGTAGACATAATGTATATGTCATGGAAAACGAGAGACATGTGACCTCAGGTGTCAGTGGACTCTAGAAATATACTGAGGAGTAGCTACACAGGGAGAAGAGATGGAAGGAGTGAAAACAAACTCTGAAGGAAACCAACCGTCAGTGTAAACATTCATGGTGTCAGAAAGCACCCGTGAAAATATGCACACCCAGTCTAAAACTGCACATGCATGTTTTTCTTAGCTGGGGTGACTTGGGGCGTACGAGAAGTGACTTAGCTCAAATTCCAGGTTCAGAGTCCCGGGGGTCCTCCTGTGCTTCTAGGTACGTGCAGTTTATCAAGTAGTGACTCCCTGGCATGTTTAAGCTTGCTCACAACAGCAGGTGAAACTCTCAATCACACCAAATGTCTTCCTTTGAGGTCTATTATCTAGCTCAGAGTACAGGGCAGTGTAGCCGGCCAGTAAGGCTCCATGGCATTTGAAATTAATCCTTTAAATCAACTGCTCGCTGATGGTTCAGGATTAACTAGACTAATGAAACACAAAACATGCCAGTTTGCCTTTTCACTAAAGGTTGTTGTGTGTGTATGTGTTTGTGTGTGTGTGTGTGTGTGTGTGTGTGTGTGTATGTGTGTGTGTGTGTGTGTGTGTGTGGGTGTGTGTGTGTGTGTGGGCGTGTGTGAGAGAGACGTGTGTGTCAGCCACAATGTTCCAGACCATTCAAGCATGTTGCCATGCAGAGGAAAAGGTCATTTCTTTCTTTCTGACATGTTATTTACAGCGAAGCAAGTCAGCACTGACAGTGATGTAACACAACACTTACCATCACAACTTGGATGGAAAATGCTTTTGAAATCAAGGAAAGGGGTGTTAAAAAACTGAGAATCTGGAGGAATAAAACAAGAAAAAGGGGAGAAGACAAGGAGACGAACAAGATGAAGTGATGTAAAAGGAACAGAAGTAAAACAAAGGACCAGCATGCATCCTTCTTATAGCAATGAATGTGGTTTATCATCTCCCTAATCAACTCATCAGAGTTATGAGCTTAAGATATGTGTCTCATCCTGTTCAAATGTCCATTAATGTCTTTCCAACATCACTGGCAGACAGGCAAGGACAGAGCAGCAGCGGATATCAGGTCACCATGACAGGCGTTGGCACAAAGTGTACTGGGACAAAGGTCTCACACCGCTGCCTAATGCCCTCATCCCCCCAGCATACTCATTTACACAGTCTAACACGTTCTGTACAGTATGCACACATCCCCTAACCGTATTTACAACCATTGTACCGATTTATTAACTGCTGATTCGGGTTGGCTCATTTTGCGAGAATATAAATCCCTCTTTGGCTCTCCTTACTGAAGAATTAACGTGCCAACTTCACAGAAAAAAGAAACCTCACAAGTTCAACTTTGCACGATACATTTACACAATTGAAGTTCGTGCTATGGCAAGCCCTGCTCGTCCTCATGCTTGAAAGGCACTCAGAGGAGATACTGTATGTCTGAATGGCCAATGATGCAGGCTCCCCGTGGTGTCCTCACTGCCATGAACTCAGTTATGTATTCAGGACAGAATGTACAGGGAGGAGGTTAAAGAAAAGCCGAAAAGCCAAGGGAAGAAAGAAAATAACAAGAAGCAAGTGATCTTAGTCTTGATGTCAGTGTGAAACAGCCACCTACACCTGAATTGTAGATTTCCTGAACAAACAGGTCACCTCCTCCATATCCTCGCTCAATGCAAATTACATTTTAATTACAAGCAAACACAATCAGAGACACCGTGTTCTGAACTGACACAGATAAAACACGCCACACCTTTATGCAGATTAAAGTAACTGTTTTTTTAGCTGAGGGGTAGGCCTTCTTGCATGCAGCAAATGTTGCACAGCAACAACAATAACCTCTCAAAGACTGTTTTTCATATATCATATTTGGCCACTAGAGAGCTCCACAAAACATGTAATTACCTGCCAATGCTCCGAATATGAAGCTGGTTGAAGTTGAGAGATTTATAACATGGAACAATTTTGCTCTGACTGCCAGATCAAACAAGAAACAGTGGTGGTGGAGGGAGTGAAGACCAACATTTGCAGCGCAAAGAGTTCAACACGCGCTGCAACATGCCCCAACACTGTCTTTTACTGTAGCAATGAACCTGTTGGTTATCATTCCAGTACACTTCAGCAAAATGCATAGCTCTCACTGCTCAGTACAAAAACCTCCACCCTTCTCCACTGTGTCGCAATGTCCTGACAAAACAATCAGAGTCTTGGTGCATGGCGATTGTGCACGATTTCCTTTCTGCACAAACCCCAACACTGAATAAACAAACACATTGATAGCAAACTCTAAAGACGTCTGACAACAAAACAGAGTTGGAACAGACGTATGAATAATGCAATGCTCGTGGCTATTTCTGCAAACTCTGCATTAGTAATGACACTTGATAAGCCAGCATCAATAAATTAAATGGACATACTTCATTAGTTGCATTTAAATTTGATCTTGTGCAAAGTTGCTATTAAATGCACATGCACAGATATCACCATCACTATTCCTGGAGTGACATAGCAAACACGAGCTGCTCAGAAAAATTTAACCCCACTTTTTAAATGGAGCACAAGTCTGAAATTTTCAACCAGGCTCAATAACCTCTCCAAACACAAGCCAAGTTTCTACAGCTGGTTGACTGGTACACTGTTATCACCATTCGACCCCCCTTTAATGATTGATTTTGACTGGGAATTACAGCAGCAGCTGAGTCTGGAAGCAATTCAGTCACATAAATCGCCAAGTAAGTGATATATCCTGGTAAAAACCCGGTGTTTACTCTTTAAATAAAACCACAGGAGGAGTTCTAAACTTAGCTGCACCTTCATATTTTCTCTACTGGGATGAATAAAAGACTCAAGGTTCCCATGTGGTCTGCAATAAAACAAACTGTCTGCAGTGCTGCCTTATCTTGCCAACCGAGCAAACAAGTATGTCTCCAGTGAGTGTTTTCTCCTCCAGATATAGGTGGCTAGAGAACTTAAGAGGATCTTTTACTATTAAATCCTGCAGGAGAGACAGAGGGAGCTGCATCAGGAGGAGGAGGAGGAGGAGGAGGAGGAGGAGGAGGAGGAGGAGGAGGAAGAGAGGCAGCAGAAGGTGTGCAGCTGCTACCCAAACACCCATGTGCAGAGCTGGGTGGAGGGGACAGTGGGTGGGTTGTCTGGGCATGTGTGCGTTTGTATAAAAAGGCGTGTGTTCCAGATAGGTATTAGACCTATTTAAAAATGAAATGTTGCATGTAAGAGAAACGCATGAAAACAACATTAATATGGCTTCCAGCCTCACCTCCCCAGTTGTTATCCTCGGTCAGTGTTGTCAGGTCCAGCCGGGGAACATCCTCGCAGCTTGTCTTCTCACAGTCTGGGTCTGAACCTCGCACCTCTCCGCTGCTGACCCTCCCCATGTCACAAGTGACGGGCGACTCCTGGATCTTCATCCTCAACGTCTGCACAACCATGAGAGAAAAGACGAGAGCCCTCAACAACGATGACCAGCCTGTGAACACACTCTTTAAGTTGAGCCACACACTCCCTCAGACTGGCCCTGCCCTAACGGAGGGGGCTGCTCCCTGCTCGCGATTGGCTGCCTCAGCTGGCCAAAACATCCGCCCATCTGTCTTTAACTGTGTGTGAGACAGCAGGAGTGGATTGGCTCCGCCTCCTCTTTCACCCACTGGAATCCCTCACCCCTCCCTCCCTCTCTTATTTTCTTTCTCTTCTCCCTACAGTAGCCCTTGTTGCTTTCTCTCTTGCCTGCCATGCATATATTCTCCACCCGAGCGCCGCTCTGGACTTGTTTGTTCCACAGCAGAAAGAGCAGAAGGGAGGGGTGGTGGGGTGTTAGGGAGGGAGGGAGGGAGGGAGAGAGAGAGAGAAAGGGAGGGAGGGAGGTGAGGACAAAAAAAAATAGCAGCCAGATTGTGAGCCAGCACACGTAGGCTGACTGGGTGATTTTTTTCTCCCCCTATCTGTCTCTCTCTGCAGACACTCAGCTCAGAGCAGAAATACTACATGCAAACCTCCCCATCCAGCACCTCATTACTTCCTCCATTTTTACCCATTATTCACCAGCTTCTCCTGCCTCTCCTTTTTATGTTTTTAAACCTTTTTGATCACTCCACTTTGCTTATCCACAATCAAAGCTGTGTAATCAAATTCTAGCATAATGTAAATAATTTGGGAAAGCTACATACTCCACTGATCATGTATTTAGAACGTGTCCATGGATCACTTAGCACTAAGCCCATGGGGTCCCATTTCCTCTGTCCGGGCGTGGGACCAGGCTATTTTTAGGAAAAAACAGATCAAGACACACTGCTACTAGACCTCATAAATGCCACAGATGGCCTACAGGAAGGCGTGCAGTTGAATCTGGTTACAACAGCCCTTGATTTGTGTTTTTATTCATGATACTTAGTTGTTGTTGTTGTTGGCAGGTTTATGTAAATTAGTCTCAGGTGTTTGTGTTCTTGTGCTGAAGTGGAGGCCAAATAACAGGGAGTTATCAAGCCTACTCATCTGTTACATAGGAAATAACTGATGTGATCTCAATCATGGAGGCTACAAAGTGGCATTAGTGCCCAGAGAGAACATGCGGACTGTGAGCCACTAATAGCAGAAATTTCCCCTAAGCTGCGCTTACCGTCACTGTTTTCAAGTCAAGAAACCCCCACCCACAACCCCCCCCATGAACAAGTACATAATGCTCCAGCTCACTCAATAAACAATTGAAAGCTCCTTCACATCCACACACACATTCAGCTGCATCAGCCTCTAGACTCAGTGTGTAAGTAAGTAATAAGTAATTACAACTGGTTGAAACAATAAGTAATAATGTTTTTAGTCATTGGTTTTGTGTCTATTAGTTAATCAAGAATAATTCATGTTGAAAGATTTAAGTGTGCAGATTTACAGAATTAAATTATTAACATAAAAGCAATCTCTTCTCAAGTAACATATTTTGACCATAAAGATTTTCATTCAGGAAGAACTTGATAATTGTTTGTTAATTAGGGGTTAGTTTTTCATTTGTTCTATACTCTCTTCACTACTGTACTTCCTGTGTCTTTTTGTTCAGTCATGCAATTAAAGTACGGACTCATTAGGCTTTAAAACACAAGAGTCTACTGGGTGAATGTTATGTAATATTATGAGTCTCAGAGGTAAGAGATGCTGAAAGAGGAGCAACATCTAGTCCAGGTAATAGACCCTTAAGGGATGTAAAAGTTTCCTCATCAAGCAGCACTTTTGTCATCAAACTCTTTTATATGCAAATGATTCATTAAAGGTGATTTGATAAAAGACCCCTCATCTGTGTCATGACTTTTACTTCACAGGCATAAACATCTAATGAAAGTTTGCTGTCAGGCATCAGTGTAGAGAGGACAATGTGACATTGGTTCAAGATGCTCCGAATAAAATCACAGTGGATTAACAGCAGCACAGATGTAACAGCTCACCGTGGTCTTGTTGTGTTTGGATGTAGGTCCACACACTGCACAGTGTTCCCTGGAACATCATCCACTGTGTTCACTCTAACACACTTGAGCCATGATTACATCACCACGAGAGGTCCAGCTGGTGCAAAGGACGGGTGAGATAGAGCTACTGCGTTCGCGTACGTGCGTGTGTGTGTGTGTGTGTGTGAGTGGCGGGGGATGCATTAGACAATAATTAAGCTGTGTTGGGGGGTGGGGGGGGGTGGGGGTTTACATACACAGTGTACAAACAAACACATGGTGGAATTTAAAGGGCATTTTGCTGAGATGGCACACAGACAAGCACAAAACCTTGCACACACACACACCCACCCACCCGCACGCACGCACGCACGCACGCACGCACGCACGCACGCACGCACGCACGCACACACACACACACACACACACACACACACACACACACACACACACACACACACACACACACACACACACACACACACACACAATGTGGAGGATTTGGCCTGACATAAGCTTCCTGTCTGATAGCTTTGTTTTCCTTTTGCACTCTCACACCATTTATGTGTGGTGGAGCTCTCCACACCTCCTTTCAAAACACACGCACACATAAAGCACATGTGCATGCACACGGTGTCAATGCACTGCCAGGTTCTGCAGAAAATGGAGACAAATACAGTGTGTGCTGGCAATTCCAGAGTTTTCCTAGTGCTCAGTGTCACTCTGAGTGACATGAAGAGCAACTTATTGTGAGAAGATGTGCTGCAAACAATTCCCCTATAAGTGACATTTTAGTGTTGCAGTCACCTTCACCTGCATACATGAGCTGGTCCAAAACACTGCAGCTCTATCGCATATTGAGACACACACTACACCAACACACTAACATTAAAGGTTTGTGTGTTTATGAAATTAAGAACAAGGTTTGAAACAGAGTATGTGTTTGTCCAGAAATCATTTTTTAACAACTCAGAACACAGGTACAGCTGCAAGTCATGCTTATCCTTATTATCTATTAATCTCCTAATTATTTTTTTTGCAAATAACTGATTAATTGTTTAGTCTATAAAAGGTGAGAGCACAGTGAAAAATGTGTCCATTGAGTCCAAGGTGATGTCGTATTTTATCTGGTCAATACCAATTCTGTGCAGCTTGCACTAAAATAAAAAAGGGATAAGCAGCAAGCAAAAAAAATAAATTGGGAAAATAAAAATAAATGATTCATCAGTAATATTTTTCTGTTGTTCTGCTGATTGCTTAAGCAGTACAGGCCTCAATTTCTGCCAGGTCACCAAAATACTGTGTTTATAAGCCAAACTAACAGCAGAGTACACAGAGTCATACTGTATGTATCAATATTTGAAAGATCAACTGCAGGGGATGAGGTCACCATACAGACAGATCAGTTTATTAATTAATCTAACTAACTGCTGCTCAGAGGAAGACAAAGAGGGCCTGATGGTAACAATCATGTCTGTGTGATGCTCATGTTGTACCCCGGGCATTAATGACCAGCTGAGAGCCTGCTGCACCAGCCTCCACTCAGAGCGGCGCCACACTGGCTCCAGATGGCTGCTCAGTGGCACAGTGTGGTGGCGGCAGAGCTGCGACCTGAGCTGCTACTAAAATCCATCTGGACTGCTTCGAAAAAGATTCACCATATTGGTTCAGTGCTGCATGATTCTGTTCAGTGGAGCTGGTCCAGATTTAATGTGGAGACGAGCAGATGGGGAAGGTGACTTGTTTCCTTCTGCTCACATCCACTGCAACACTTACTACAAATCAAAAGTGCAGGGATTTCACAATGTTTGCGACAGGTGACTGAAGAACGTCTGTAAGTTTGTGTCAGCATAATGGTAGGAAGATCCCTTTTCTCAAGAATGCTAAAATCTCCATTTGTCAAAAGTTAAATTTTATATTTCTGTGGAAGTGCAGAGGACTTTCTGTTCAGCAAAATCAGCAATGTGGTGGTGTCACAAAACCATGACGTACAAACACACTGGTCAAAGCATTAACATCAACATCAGTGTTTAAAGCTCTTCCAAGTGCCTGTCCTTTTATTCTTGCCACTGTTTGTTATTGAGGTGTTTATTCATATCTCTCACTTCTGTTTTTTCTGTTTTTTTCCAGTTAAGTTTTTCTATTTCTTCATTATAATTAAATTCAATTGTATCTCTTTTTACTTCCCTTGTTTCTTTTAAATCCAGCCTTGATGTATTTTTGTGACTCATTTGGAGCATTATGAACCACCTTGCATATTAAATGTTGACTTAAAAAAAAAGAAACTGCAAGCACAAGAATTTGCTAAATTAAATGAAAAACTGCCTGATAAAAATAAGTAAAGAAAAGCATGAATCTGTGCAAGCATTCAATGAATTTAGCACTTGGCAGTTTTTGACACATTTCAGTCATGAGGTTCAATATTTAGCCCTTCCCTTTCTTTCACATCCATCTTCCTACAATTTGAGACTCCATTTTCTCTGGTGACACATGCATAACAGTTCAGATAAATTTCATGAGAAGAGGAAGAAAGCGAATTGAAATAAAAGGCACAGCCTAACAGAGAGAGACTCAGGGGAAAGGAACTGTTAACTTGAACCTACCTGTGGTGGAGAAGGAAGGCCATGATTTCTTGAAATGTCATTCCTGAAAAATCAGACAGTTTAGTAAATAAGCTTGAACTGATTTACACCAGCTTCTGTCAAACCAAACACAAGACAGATGTTTATTTTAAGTGTATGTTATAAAAATCTCAGTATGACATACAGATCTAACGGCGTAGAGAGAGCATCCAGCAGCTTATCAACTTGTGTGTCCATGGGAAATGGTCAATGTGGTGAGAAAAAGCGATTCAACGGGTGTAATGACATTTTTAAAAGTTCCTCAACTTCAGATTTTGAAGAGCTTACCCTTTCTGAAATGTATCCATGTGGTTTTCTCCAGATCTCTCAGCAACACATTCCTTCACCTGGGAAAAGACATGTACATTTTGAATGTTAAGTATCCATAGAGATGATTTTCGATTTTTTTAAAGACCAAAAAGGGACAAGCTACATTGTATCAGCATATCAAAGGGGAAAAGCGTTAATACTCTTGAATCTTTTTGGACAATCGTCGTTTAACTTTCCATTTTTATGTTATTGTAGATTTTGGAGCTGTGAGTGTGATAAAATTTATTTGTAACAATCTTTATTTGTATTGCACTTTTCAAAAGCAGAGGTTTACAAAGTACTTAAAAATATGAAAAGATCATTTATAATTCTTGCTTGTATTATATGAAATATGATATGAGCAGTTATTGAAAAATAACACAAAATATGCTGAACATTATTAATACCTAAAGAAATTGAATAAGAAAAAAATAGGAGTCAGTGTCACCAAGAGCATACAGCTTAGTTAGTCTTTTAGTTTAGCGTGTTTGCTTTCTAATTTGTATTTAACACGAAGATAAGCTGAGGCTAATGGGAATAAACAATTGGATAAAATAAAACTTTGACCTGATGAAAAGTCAGGATATTGTCAAAGTTATTACAGTTCATTCTGTGGGGAACATGAATTTCTGCACCAGATTTAATGGCTCTCCATCCAATAGTGTGTTTCATTCTAGACTAAAGTGGTGGACTGACCGACAGACATTCACATCGCTGCTAGCATGGCAAAAACATCAAGCCAAAGACATTTAGAGGCTGCAGATCAGTATGCAATGGTCAAATTTAAGCATTAATTGTATTAACTGTATTAGCTTCGCAAATAAAAATGCATCTTTGACATAGTTTATAAACAATTTCACACAAAAAGGTGATTTGATGGCTGAACTTTGTCAAAAAGGTCACCCAGAACAAACAACACTGTACATAAACATATTATATGACTCTGTGCTAGTTTACAATGAACAGCACCAGGAACAACAGTCCAGAGGCTTTCAGAGCTCCCGATTACCCTTAGTGGCTCTCGACATAACAAGCTCACACTCACAGAGACGACTGTTCACACCAGCACAGACTCAGACCTTTACTTACATCAAACCTCTGCTATCAGCCACCCAGCACAACACTGGCCCAGCCAATCAGCGACGCTGTGGCAGCTATAACATTCAGTTTACTGTATGTGTGTCAAGGCATAATGTGTCATCTGTACTGTTACATAAGGGGTTGGCATGAGGAGTTAAAAGAATAAAAACAGCGTGGCAGTCTAAAATTGAGTTCCTTGAGTGTCAGAGTGTAAACTGAACAAATCTATTTCCATCAGTTGGTTGGTGGGACAGCACACCATGCGGCTGATCATTACATTAGCACACATCACTTAGGAACCAAGTGTGAATAATAATCCATCTTGCTTACATGCAGCTATAGTGGAAGAAGTGTCTGTAGAGACTGGATCATGTTACTACAGCTACATGCTTCACACCATGTCCTCGTCGTGACTTTGACGGCTTTCACACACTCCTCATATACAGCTGTCACTGTGCCACAGCACTTTTGGGTATGACTCATTTTAATATGCTTGGTAGGTTGAAGATAGCTGACCAAATATTCTATTATCTGGCTGAACTTGTTCACTGGGGGTAAGCGGTATGGATGTAATTTTGTATCATAAAGTGAAATGTTAAGGGTTGATTGGTTTGAAATGTTTGTTTGGTTTTTGTTTGGTGAAAAACAGTGCAAAGTGACATCTTCAGATTGCTTGTTTTGTCTGAACAACAGTCGTAAACCTAAAGATATTTCATTTATAATGTTATAACAAAGCAAAACACAGAATAGTCTCAAATTTGTGAAGTTGGAACCAGGGAGTATTTAGTATTTTTGCATGAAAATGTTCCTTAAGGTTAATTGGATATATTAAAAAGTTTATAATTTATTCTCTGTATATGAACTCATTAATCTATGTATGTAAAGATATAATTCAGCACCAGTCCAGAGTGTCAGTCCCAATACTAAAACAATACGTTTTTTCAAAACCTTATTTTTAGGAATAAAAATGTTTATCTATAAAACATGTTTTTTTTATTCAACAAAAGACGCCGAATGTTCAGTGTTTTATAAAAAGCCAGGTGAAAACTTTGCTTAAATGAAATATGGAATTAATTGAAAAATTCATGATTGAAATCTGAAACCTTCTGATCAAAAAGTAAACAAGTGCAGGAGTACAAATCCGAGCATCCGATGCCATCTTTCAATGCTTTCTTTTTGTTATTTCGTGCTATGGACACATTTCAGTTGGTACTGAAAATCCAATATTGCCATAAAGCACCCATGCTTGTAGATTTGTAAGATTGTGTGCAGTCCTTATTGGAAACAGCATTGCAAAGTCTCTACCTCTTGCCTCTGTGCTATCCTATTAGGTGCTACTCATAAACTATAAAATATAGGTGCTACTATAAAACCTCTAGGTAACGTTGTACATTAAAGAAATTACTTTACTGTATCTGATTAATCTGACTCAATAAAAACAGCGCTTGGAACATTGTAGTCCCGCACATGACAACAGCTGAAAGGACAAGCTGCACTCTGGCGGATTTTCTTCTTCAGTGGATAAAAGCTGCAGCTACTTGTGCGCTCATAGCTGGCCCTTACATCTGCACTGCTTCTGGAAAAAGTGGTTAACAATTACTGTGGTATGCTGTATATTACAACCCACTGTACAATGAGAATAGCAGGGAGCCATTAGGCAGCTGCACAGCTTCCTGTCATTTTCCAAGTTGCCTCCATTTAGTTAGTCTTGTTAACTGCAACAGACTATTATTTGCATTGAGGCAGAAACGAGGATGATGGGGGGTTGAGCGGAGTGCTTTACCAATCCATCTGCATCACAGGTGCATTGCAGGAGATGCTCTGTGAATATGGTGATGCTGTTTCTAATGTCAGCCCCTATTTTCCTGTATGTAAAACTGGCAGCAATTTCAGAATTCACTACAGTCTAAAATATTATACATATTGCTACAAGCAACCGAAAGAACAGCCGTTATCTGTTGACCTGCACCTAAGATGGACATGTGACAGTGAGTGAAAAGTCACACACAAAAGAAAACAGAGGAAGAGAGCAGTAAAAAACAATAACAGAAGAGAAACTGCCAGGATGGTGACAAAGCACAAAAATAAAGCAGATGAAGAGAAAAGGTGTGATGACTCACTGCATGTGCGTCCTGGTTGTCGGTGAGCTGCACCAGTGTAGGGCTGTGTTTTGACTTCCTGGGTTTGGGGGTTTGCTCAGTGTGACCACTCTGGCCTCCCTGTGAGTCCACACTGCTGCTGCCTGTGTCCTCCCCCACACTGCCTGAGCTGCTTCCACTGCTTCCACTGCTTCCACTGCTTCCACTGCTTCCACTGCTTCCACCGCTCAACGGGATGTTCTCCTTGTTGGTGTCTGCCCTGACGGACGCAGCTCTGTTGTCAGTCGGAAAAGAAAAGGGCGAGGAAATGAGACATCTGCCCTCCACCTCACTCTCTCTGCTGCACAGTTTGGTCTGTCTTTATCAGCTTGACATTGGGTGAAATGCTTCCGGAAACTACATGACAAGGTCACCCTGATACCTCATTTACTTATACCTTCTCCAGCAACTAATGTGCGGTTTAGTTTTTGTGCTAATTCTATTTACTGTCTATTTACTGTCCACGCTCTTATTGACATTTTCTGCTGTCTTTGGACTAATGCACTCCTCTAATCCACGTGTGACTGATCTCTCAGACTCCACCAGGTCTCCATCAACAAAGATTAGCTTCTTACTGTGATGACTCCAGTTGTTATGACTGTACTATGTCTCAGTGGACGAGCTTACCATGCAGAGTGAAACCTTACAAATGTTTACTGTTCCCAAAACACCAACTGGAAGCAGAAGCATTACACTGAGGTCAGTCTTTATTAATGAAAGGAATCTCATTGTGCTTTGTGCTTTATGTTTTAAAAAACATTAATTATATCTAGTGTTTCTGTCAATTTTTTAATTGTTAAAATTTTATGTACAATATGTGAAAAAAAAACAATAAGAATATTTCAAGTTAATTCAAGAATTTTCAAGTGCCCACCCTCTGCCTCTTTTAGGATTTGTCCTCCCAACTTTAAAAAAAGTAAATACATACAGTTCCCCTGATAATTTCTGTAAAACTATCTTATCTAATTGCTTACACATACCTCCCTGAACTAATCTACTGAGTGGAGTACTGTGTAACAACCAAGCAATATTAAACTATCTTCTTACAAGATTACTATTTAATGTCCTTATTCTGTATTCATCTAGTTTATGTTAATTTTTCTTCTTCTGTTGTATAATGCACCAGTTTAGCATTGCACTCCTCTACCATTGTCTCACTACCAAAGACTCACAATGGAGAGGTAAAAGAAGATATCGTCTTTTTTATTTCCACATTTTCTTCTTACTAACCAAAATCTGGTGCCTACATTACCCACAATGCCACTGAACTGCTGAAAGTTCAGCCAGAGGTATGTTTTTCTATTAGCAGCTCGCATTACGCACTAGCCTCAAGCAGAGATGAGGAGCGAGCAATGGAGGTATAGTTGAGCCCCAAGACCTGTAAACAGACTTGAGTGTTATGTGTAACCTGTGTTAATCTATTTATTTATCATGTGAGGAGGTCACCCACTTGAGGGGTGAAAAAGGAAAAAAATGAAGAGAACATGTGTTTATACAGCTGCATTTAACATTTAACATCTAATATGACGACGACAATGAAGTGAAATTAAAATTGGCCTTGATTTACAACAGGAAAAAGTAAAATAATTAATCTTATACAAGAACATTTCTTCATCTTAATTGTCGGAAAAAGATCCACAATCACAGATAAAAAAAAAAAATAGATTTTTTCAAAAAGATTTTTGCAGTGCACTTTAGTGCTGCTACAAAGTGCCACTGATCTTATCCTGGTACTATCAACTGCCAACTTCATGACGACGCCAGACCCATCATACCTGTTTCTTTCTCGGTGCCTCAGACCGTCCTCCTGCTGCTCTCTGTGGTGTCGACGTCTCTGTCGCGCAGTTGGTGTCACCTTTGCAGACAGCAGACACGGGGTCAGCTCGCAGTCCTCTGAACTTTGATCCCCTAAAGGGTTCATATCAAAGAGGTGCTGCTCCACGGCTGAACGTATCGTCCTGTCCAGAATACTGCAGGGAGTAGGAAATAAAATGAGAGACAGACAAGGTTAAGACATTTACCACTCTAAGCTCCAATAATGCTTTCATATGAGGCAGAATTGAATTTTTCTCTACATAAAAAGTGTAAATTGATTAATTTCAAGAGAAATACAATAGGATTATGTGACAATAGGAAAGTCCACTTACTTCACCACATCTGGTCTGCAGTGGACAGGGGAAAGGTGGTTACTGAAAGAAAAACAAGAGGGGAAAGTGAGTTAATGCTACAGAAACAGGTGGTCACAACAGGTCACTGAGCAACGCTGAAAATCCCCCAGGCTTTGGTTCTGGCCCTAGGTGATCAAGGCATCTAGTGTTCATGAGTGATGTGTTCAGAGCAGAAGTACGTCCTCTGAGAACTACCAGTAAAGTAGAGTTAGTGGTTAATACTTTCTATATTCAATACTCCTCTTTCTCTTTCTTATTCTCTCCTGATATCAAAATACACACAGGCCTGTATTGAGTAATGAGCTTTAGGTTGGTGATTATATTTTGTGTGCACAGGTGTGTCTAAAGCTATATCTATATCTAGATATAGTTATAGATTATTGAATTTTTATTACACACAGATTTAGATGACAAGAAGTAAAATGTTAACTAAACTGTTTGGTTTATTATTGTCAGATCAAGAGTGCTTGGATTTTAACTGAAGGCCTTCCTCCTGCTGTCACATACAGTTCACTTCTTTAATTAATAAAAAGTCCAGGTACCAGTTTAGCTTCTCTCAATTTATGATGTTTGTTTCATCAATCACTCTTGAACCCTTGGAAATTGTGAAATAAATCAATTACTTGATTAGCCAACTGACAGAGAATTCATCAGTTTTGATAACTGATTAATTGGTTCAGCAATTTTATTTTTGAGCAAAACAATTGTAATGTTGCTTAAAATCTGAGGATTCACTGCATTTATATTGTATCAATGTAAATTAAACATCTTTAAGCTGTGGCGCTGTCACTCTGACACTGTCTGGAAAATTGTGACGATCATTTTGTATTATTTTCTAATTTATTATTAATGCTATTATTGAATATGTTAATTATTAAACAATTTAGTTAGTTACAGCTATATGCCAACAACCGATAATTGTTTAATCTTGGCTAAAAGATGAATTTCCCCTAGGGGATAAATAAAGTATCTATCTAAAAGATGGGGTGCTGAAATTTTACTATTGCTGTGAAAAGACATAACATTTTGACACAAAGGGTACAACAATTATATGCATCTCAGAAAGTCCCTTTTGCCTTAACCACCTGGTGCCCGTCATGTGTGCTTTTCCTGGACTACAGCTTCATCAACGTGTATAGGGATGACCTCAAAGAATCTTCCTAAACAGTGGTGTTGACAGTAACAGCAGAACTTGGCAGAGGCCCCATATGGAGTACTGATACAGGGAGAGATAATAATGGCGTGATTGTACACTGTGAAGGTGAATGTGGTAAACCCGTGTAAAATGGCGGGGACGTGTATCGACATTATCAAAGCTGAAAACAAAGATAGTGAATCAGATGAAAAGGGAGCGCCCTATTGTATAATAACCAGATGATCATTTTGATAGGTGTAAACAACTCAAATCATAAACATTGAGCTGTGAATATCCAGTCCTTTGGTTATTTTTCTGTGCTCATGACTGTAAGAGTTGTAAAGTAAAGAGAAGTGAAAGTGATGTCAGCTTGGGCTCACAGGTGCTCCAGAGGCAGCAGACTAATCTGATCGATTATCTCTGGGCACAGCAGGAAAAATATTAGCCAGCTACCTAAAATTAGACCTGGCACTGAATGCAGGAGGTTAAAGCAACAGAAAATGGTTTAATGGCTTACCAATGTTGACTTAACCTCAGACCTTAATGCCTGTAAATGTCACAGGCATTCATTCATCAAGCGCAGTGAGCACATTACACATGGAAATATGACAGAACTTTCCAGATCTGACTTTGGTGCTAGGACAGTCCCCCATGCTGCAGGCTGTACTTGATATAAAGGTGATGAGAGGGTCAATTATACAGTATAACTACAATAAGTGCCAGAGGAAGAAATCTTTGACAAATGTTTATTGATAGCACCTTGCCAAAAAAATGAAGCTTATGGTGCTCTATGTTGCAGTTTAACCCTGATACTATGACGGTTTCAGACAGTAATTCTCAACCTTTTTGGCTGGTAACCCCTTAAAGAAAATATGATCCACTGTGCCTGTGATTCCTCATCCCAAACTATAGGTGTGGACTGTTTGAGCAACTGAAGAGTGATATTTAGGACTGTGCTTCTCAACACTGATGAAAAGAGTTTTAGATTTTTTAGTTGAAAGTTGTGAATGTTTCATATTTGATGAGAAAGGCACAGAAATTGGAGAGAATTCTTAAACATGAACAGAATTTTATGTAAAATGTGTTTCTGTCTTTCTTATACCTTTAAATTATCTTGTAACCTTGTATAAGAGAACCAGATTTATATTGAGAGCTTATTACAGCCAAAGTCAAATTATTTATATGTGTCCACATAATGGGCTTACACATTTGATACTGATGACAGTAGTCAAAATCAAATGGAGCCTTTGGATCATTTTTGTGCATGTCAACCATTTTTCTATATTAAAAACTAGATTTAAAAGTTATCAGAAAGTCTTTTTTACAAAAACAATATATAGTGTACTATGCTGAAGTTCATGTTCATAACATCCTGAAATACACAGACAATCTTTATTTGGTCCATGATGTTAAATCAGTTTTCTTACATGTCTGCTTTTGCCACATTTAGGCTGTTGATGAAATAAACAGCTGAGCATTGCTGCCTGTAAGTGTCAAGTGTAAAATATTTGGTAATGAAATATCTTCTGGCAGCTATCATCGTCCCACATAGTGCTCGCGTTGGCACAGTATAGAAGAAGTGTGGCAGTTTGGTAAATCACCAAAGGATGCGACATCACTGAAGGAACTTTGTGCCACTGACTTAATTATAATAAAAGATGTAACAGTGTGAAACCACTCAGGGACATTGTTGCCTGGTGTGTAGCAGTGTCTGAGTCATGAACTAACTGAGAAAGGAGACCAATGGGAAAGAGGGATGAGTCACTGCATCAGAAACGAAACGGGAACATCACCACCTGAATATGAGTGAGCCAAGCCTGTAATCCTTTCCTAAACACACACATTCTAAATATATGAAATTATACCACCAGCTCCAGTCCAGTGTTTGATCAGGAACAGATCAGCTGGTGACTTTGTAACACAATGTGTAATTTCACTCCCCAGTTGTAAAAACTTTATGTGAGCTATAAAGTCTTAGAAACTGAACGCCTCCTGAGTCACCTCATGCCTTTCTATCAGGTTCAGGTTCATGTTACTTTATTTGTACCTGTAGATACATTTGTTTTGCAGCAAGAAGAGAACATCCAGTTTGTAATGTTATTCTCATTGTTCAACCATAACATGAGTGTTTGATCTTAGAGAGGACCAACAGTCTTATTATTGTTAAAGACATAGTTTGACATTTTGGGAAATTAACTTTCTTATCAAGAGTGAGAGGAGAACACTGATACCCTCTCAGTATGTCCAAAAAATATGAAGCTATAGTCAGCAGCAGGTTAGCTTAGCTTAGCTTAGCACTAAGACCGGAAAATGGCAGATACAGCTGACCTGGTTGTGTTCAAAGGTAATGAAATCACAAAATGTAGTTTAAAATATATCATTTTAGTTGGTGAGCTTTAGAGGTGCTGGTATTCTATCAACCTTAATGCTCTAGCTGTAGCTTCGTATTTAATGGACATATATAAGAGTGCTCTCATTTTTCTCATCGAACTCTTGGCAAGAGAACAATTTCCTAAAATACTGAACAACTCCTTTAAGAAATATAATGAATCTGGTTTGTTTGAAAATACAATTTTTCAATTTACCTTGTCCGCTAACAAGTCAGCAGTGCCTGCTGTTTTTTTTTTTGTTTCCATTTTGATGATGCCTGTAAGATTTGCTGAACTGTTAAGTCAGGTCTATAATGAGACTGACATTTTAATTGTGTTATTGTGATATTTTTGTCCTGCTGAATGTGATTTTAAAAAGCCAGCAGTGCAAGTCTTTGTGTCACAGGAGCTTAAAGTTTGCTTAATATAGCTGCTTTATTCAGGACCTACTAACTAAGAAAACTGCCTTGGAAATGAAAGTAAGAACAAAATAATATGTTTCTGTAGTTAGTGTCTGTGTATTTAAAGTCAAGTGGTCTTTAAGGCACAAAAAGTGCAGAGGAAACAACTGCAAAGCTTACACAGCAGATGCTTATACCAGTTAAATCCCCCGCACTGTGTACCTAGTGGCGTTCATTCAGGTAATCCAGTATTACACCACAGTCAGAAATTAGCCAGGACCTTTAGAGTCTTTGGTCAACACACACCCAAGAAAATTATGTTGATCTACAATCCATTTTGACTGGACTGAGGTTAAGCTCCCTTGTGGCAGCCTGAGATTCTCTGTATGTGAAGGAATGCATGTGTGTGTGTATGTGACAAAGGGCAAGCAGGCCATGGAGTTAGTCAACGATGAACGTGAGCAAGAGAAGTGAATGAGAGAGAGGTTAAGGGAGAGAGGAAGCATTGATAAGTATTGGTCTTAGTCATTAAGTGATGTCAGAGAGAGAAGCAGACTAGGGCTGCAACTAAAGGTTTGGTTTCAATATCAGTTATTTTTCAATACTTTATAATTTGATTAATTACGGTGTATATAAAATGTCAAATGTTTAACGGTATTTTAATAGGCTTATTTTAAACGAACAATTGTTCAAAACCCACAGCTATTAACTTTATAAAACTAAGGAAAAACATTTGAAAAGACTCAACACTGATTGTTCGTCTACTGACAAATTGATTAATTGACTCATTGTTTCAGCACTTGGATTAGCACATTACGGCCGCATGTGTTCTGATGCTTTTGTCCTTTCCCTGTCCTGTCTCCCCTGTAGCTCCACCCAGGCTGTTCCTGAATACTCCATGAGATCCACCTGGCCTGGGAAGAAGGGGTTAAAAGCCCTGGTGCCAGCATCAGAAGGGCAGAGGTTTCTAGTATGGGAGTGCTGGTGTTGCTGCCTCTCAGCTTGGGGTTTTTGTTGTGTTCTGATTTTTGTGTCTTTTGTTGTCTTAATTTAGCGTCCTGGTCATTTTGCATATTTATGTTAAATAAGCCCTTCACTTTAGAGGCGTCTTGTGAGTCTGATTTGGGTCACTGGTGTAGTTTTGTCGATTCATTATTGATTAATCTTTTTGATTAATCACTTGATTCTTAAGCCTTAAAAAGTAAAAAAGATATTCAACATTACATGTTGAATATCTTGTTTTGTTTGACCAACATTGCAAAACCAAATATATTTAGTTTATGATGATACAAAAAAACAATTTTTTTTTATCATTTTCACTTGAAAAACTATTGAATTGCATAATCAATTAACAAAATTGTTGCAAATACAGTAGAAAATTATTTGGTCGATCAATTTATTCATTAATTGTCTAATCTCCAGATATCATTGCTCCCACACTGCTCAATAATCTTAAACATCACATAATTTTGAAACAGTGTCTTCACCCAGACGTGCCATTATGTTTAGGTGGTGTGTCTGAAACGTGCCCTCTGGCTGCCTCCGCCAGAATAATCAAACTGCAGAGAACAAACTGTTGCATGTGCACGCTGCCCTGCTTTCCCTCTAACTGGTGGTTCCATTGTTTCCGATGATAATGCAGTGAGGCAGCACACAGCCACTTCCCCCACACCTCTAGTCCAAAACAACATACTCTTACCCAGTTCTGCCAGTGTTATAACAGAGACATGAAGCCTACCTCATGTAGAAAGGAGATATTGGCCGCTCTTCTTCTTGGGAACTGAAATATGAAAACAGACATAATTAATTAGCTTCCACAATGTGTGTATTGCCTATGGCATAAAAACATTAACACTCCCCCCAAACCCCACCCACCCATCACTACATGTTACTTGGGCTGAAAATAGGAACATAAGGCTGGCTTTTGTCTGCAGAATAATAGCCATGCAGTGCTACAGATCAGTGCCTTTGTGCAACTTGTCTCGGGTAATTATTATGATCCAACAGAGAAATGGCTGCTGCTCTAGAATATAGGCTGGTTACTGCCACTGGATGTATGCCAGTGACACATGATAAAATTATGCAACAATAAGAGGAACTCAGTGTTTGGCCCTGAATGTTGAGGTTGCTTAACATTTTCATATCCTGGCACTTGCAGGCTGAAAATTTCATAATCACCAAGTCTTGTTTGCCTCAGCAGAGCTGAATACTGTATTATCTCCTCTAAAATCAAAGCAGGAAGAAAAACACTGCAACCAAAACCTAAAATGTTATACACTAACTATTTAACAAATAAGTAAGTGCTGAATGACCTCAATAAGGCTAACTTTATATATGTTTATTTAATTTAACATGAGATATTTTTACACAATTAAATTCTATACAGTGTTACTACAACGGCTGACTGTGATAGCTAAGCTTTATTAGCTATTAGATTCTTTAATTTTAAATGAACATGAAAGACACAAGGAGGAATATTTTCACTATACCTAAACCTTTAATTACTTTTTACTCCAACTGGGATTTTATATGGATGTTAATCTGCGAGAAGGGAACACTTCTCAGGACAACGTGAACTCCACCAATGTTCTTAATTTACAAATTCACAACAGAAAGGATTTGGACAAAAGTTCAGGTTAAAGAAAATGTTGTCAAACCAGGTACAGCAGATGCACACAAAATCCATTCCAGACATTTTTTTTTACATTTCTCAACTGCTCATCTGACTATCTATCATTCAGCGAATGACAAGAAGCTTAATTGGTTCAATACAAGTATGTCATATTTAGTTGACAGAAGAATAATCTGTCAATTAACTATTAACTATTTTGTAACTAGTTTGATACTTGATGGATCGTTTAAGTAATTTTTTTTACCCAAAAATGAAAAAAAAATAAAAATCCTAGTTCCACCTTCTTAATGGTGAGCATCTTTGTTTATTGTCATTACAAATTTAAAACTTGTGGTCAATTTGAAAACATCACCATTCTATAGAACAGTTTATAGAACAAACAATTAACTGAATAATTGAGAAAATAATTGGCAGCTTAATTGATAAGAAAAAGTTATATTGATTGCAGCCCTACTTATTCATTTCTGAATGGTTTACAGAAAATCCTCTAAATAATGACTGATTGAATCATGAATATCTTCAGCAGGAGTTGGTGTTGTTTTAGTCCTTTCTGATCCTTTGTACTATTTACAGCTCCACAGATGCCACAAGGAGAAAACACACTATATTACTGACATCCAGTGAATGGTCTAAATATTCTGGCTTGCTGGTTTTGTTTGATAAGGAAACAGAAAATAGATGACATCAAATTGAAATAATCCTAACCCACAATCAGTCATGATTGTAAGCTGTAAACATGTTGAGTCTGAGATGTTCTAAAGCACAGAAGAAAGAGTTGTTATTGAGCAAATTGTTTGTTACTCTGGTGTGTTTTGGTACGTGACATGCCTTCATGTGGCTTACTGTAAGGGGCAGGCGTACCGAGAGGAGGGGAAACCACTTTCACCATCCAGGCTGCACCTCAACAAATTCAAAACAAAGGATTTAGGTTTCACGTCAGGCAGGAATCAAAATGGGTCAAAGTTTGTTGAACTTCAAAAGTCTCTAATGACACAATGTACAGGAAATGTGCATGTGTTCCTCCAGCCTTTGAGGTGCAGGTGTAGTTCACCGCACAACATTTGAATGCTTTTTTTCCCCCACACCCATGTTCTTAACTGGTGTTACACAGTCTGGCAGGCGTATTAAAATAATGTGTGCCGTCACAGCCGCCGTGAATTGCAAAAGCGGAAATCCTGCTTACCCACTACCTTACTGAGGGGATAACAAAAAGCTTTGTAGGGATACTTGGAAGGGGCCTGATCCCTCCGGGGCCAACGGAAAACTACCAATGACAAGTTGGTCAATCTGGACACGCTCCACTTTTTCAACATTTATAAAAAAAATGAGTAGACAAAGGTAGTCTGGCTTAGCGGATGCTGGTCACTTGATTCTTGGCAGGGTCTTTTTCCTTCCGCCTTGCCCTGTCGTACCTTTTCCAAAATCCCTCGACAACACGTAACAAAAACACTTGCTGTTTAGCTAGCAGCAGTGAGGGATTGATGTGGAGAACAATGGCAGATCCCAAATGCCTCAACCCCATGGTGAGGTTATTTTTGCATTTTGTTAATAAGAGGCAAAGAGTCCCACGTATGAGTCTCTTCAGTCTCCAGTCCGTTCAGGACCCCCAGAACATCAGCTTTTAGACCGGTGCTGGACATTCTTAGAATACCTCCAAGCACAAACTGTGTGGTGGTCAAGATCCAGAGTATTTGTCGGATAAGCCTGGCTAAGCTATACTTGGTATATGCTCATTCCACCAGGAAACGGTGTTAAAGCAAAACAGAAGCCATCACGCTTTAGGTTTTAAACTGAGGCACCGAAGACCTGCAGATAAATGTAACAATTTAAAGATGGAAAATTTTTGTCTCACTGCTTACATCCATCTGGTTCTCAAGTCTCTTTATTATGACCATTACCTTGGCTAAACATTATTGACATTGAAAGCAAAATGACACAGCAAAACACCAGATTTGTGCTTTATTAGCGGGAATACCAGTGAGAATAGTCTAAACACCTAACTTGGATCTGTAAATATGACAAAGCAGTTTACTGCATGAGAAAGGGTAGACTCTTTCACCAAGATATTAGCGGTGGCTGAAAGAACTCAACATACTTGTTGAAACTATAGGGCTGGATAATGATTACGTGAATTAATCTATTTCACATCCACACGTGCTCCGGAAAAAGCAGCAAATCCTCACACACAGACGCTGATAGATATGAACGTTTGGCATGGCTTGAGGAGTTAGTCGACGATCAATATCACTGACGATTACATTTCTGATAATCGTCCAATCAATTAATCAACAGTCTTTTCAGTACAGACTGATATACATAAATGATTTTGAACATTGACTTGGGAGCACCTGCAGTCATCCTTTCACCTCAGTATCAAGCCAGTCATCTGTCACTGAACTTGAACATCAAACGTAGCATCTATATGTTCAAAATCAATTGCATCTGGCTTGGGTTTTTGGTTCCTTGAGGCTTCAGCTGTCCTGACTTGAAAATTAAGAATTGGATGAATTACCAATATCTTCTAACAAATCCAGTTGGCTTTGATGTCCTACTTATTCATATTCTATGACTTGAATGACTGAGAATCTTTATTGACATTAAATCTTAGTACATTTAAGGGCCACAGACCTGTGTGTGATTTGGAAAAAAAAGGCTTTTCAGTAACATTAAAAGTGCTGCAAAACCAGTCTGTTCCAGCCAGGTTCCTGCTGTAAATATGAGCTGTCACGCTTTCAGGCTGATGGATGAGACTTCCTGACAGGCGGCCAACAATACTGTTAAACCCACAGGGAACCTGCACTCACACCACACTGCAACGTTCCTCACTCCCACCTATTTCCAGTGCTCTTCTAAGAAACCTAATAGTTACATCACAAGATTCAGTGAACCATGGCAACTTCACACAAAAGCCAGCATGCATCCCCTATGTGCAACTACGCAATGCTAAGGACAAAATATGTTCACATGATTCTGCTATGTTGGCTCATGTGGCCTATGTGGTGAATGAGGCTGGTGTCATATTTCAACTACAGGTGAGAGCAATGTGCCATACAAAATTACTGCATTAATGTATTTGATAAGGAGGAGCCAGAGTGTTATGTTAAAGATGAAAGACTTCTCTAATACAGTACAGAGGGTACATCTACACATCTAAAAGTGAAGCCACAAATAGGAAACCGAGAGGATGATGATTTTCAATGAGTGAACAGGGTGACTCAGGATAGTGAGTGCTCCCTGTAATGAAGGGTGCTGGTTTCAAATCTAACACATGTGAATATACAAATAAAAATAGATTCTTTACCACCAACAAGGTGTAAACATACTTCATAAATTCTTGACTTCATATTTCACACCCTATAAAATTAAAGATTGTGAATAAAATGTAGGAAAAAAAGGCAATCACAAGCTGCACAAAAGCAGTTCCTTGACTTTGTCACTCTGGATATGTTTTTTTTTTTTTTTTCAAAGTATATTTTTTTGGACTTTTTATGCTTTTATGATAGCACAGTAGAGAAAGACATGAAATGGGGAGGCAGAGAGAGAGGGGGAATGACATGCAGTAAAGGGCCGTCTGATGCGGGATTCGAACCGGGGCTGACTGCAGCAAGTACTGCACTCGACGCCCCACTCTGGATATGTTTAATTCAGTTGTAACCCATTTTGCTGTGCTACTGGATGTGCTGCACTTTGCTGACACAGATTTGACTGACACATACCTATGGAAAGTGAGAGCGAGCTGACAAGTAGGCATGAGAGGAGCTACAGATATGAAAGCCCAGATTTCCATTGACAGAAAATTATCATATATTGGTGTGTGCTATTGGTTCATGTGTAAAAATCACGGCCACTAAATCATTTTTATAGAAACTCATAAAAACTTTCTCTATTTTCAACTATTTCCACATAAAAGTCTCGTCTTTGAATGTTTGAAAATCAGCTGTCAGTGTCTAATTTGTCAGACACTAGTGAGCATCGAAAGCTTTCTTACAGTAAAGATAATGAACTCCTTTTAGTCTTTTGCCCGCTGCAGATGTCTATTAGTAAATACCAGTGAGTTCAGACTGGTGACGCACATTATTGGGGTATCCCGTCACAATGTCTGTAGATCAGTCACCCAATATGACCTGGCAAGGAGAATTACGTGTGTGGGAAGGGAATCCACCAGAAGATTTACTGGTATCATGACATAGTGAGGACAGCTCTTGCCACCTTTAAAGTATTATATTTGTCACTTCATGTAGACAGGAACATCTTTTCCATTAACAGGCAATGGTCGGCCTTGTTGATTTAACAAATTTTATGCCACACAAGCAATACTGTTTATTGCCTTGGGGACTTAATGAGGTTGAATTTGTCAAACACAGAAGTTAAAAAATATTTGATATTTGATTTGTAATATATTATATTATACTGTGATAAAAAAATAAAAAAAACATTACATTTATATGATTTTTTAAAAATATGTATAAGCTGGAGTGAGATTTGTAATACAGTATAGAAGTATGCCTGACAGCAAACCACGGTGTGTCATACTAATGTGTTAATGGATCTGGTGCTGACACGGTTTTAAGCACTGATTAATGTCATACTAAAGGTCACAGGTGTGGTCTACAACTGTAGTAGAAGCCAAAACAGCGTCATCATTTCTCATCTTGGTGTTTTAACATCACACATACAGCATTTATTGTTTTGCTCCTCATTATATTTTGTAGTTTTTCCACTGACTTCTACATATAGTCTATCATCAGGAAGACCTATATATTAATCTTGTTATTTGTGATTCAAGATAAACTGGATTTGGTGCAAGTTAAAACAGCAAGAGCCCCAACAACAGACACAGCTGTAGCCTGGCTATTCCAGAACTGGGGACACTTGACACCAAGTGGTTCCAGTTTCAGCTTCTTATAATAGGCTTGTTTGCATGCCAAAGGCACATTGCCACAGGGCCTTGGCTTTAGATCCCTGATTGCTGTCAGACACTCAAGATTCTTCACCCTTACCCTCGGCTGCTAGCACATCACCTATGCAAACAGTGGTCATAACCTATTTACCACTGCTAGAATCCCCCCTTGAACTCCAAATTGGAACTGGAAACACTGAGAGCAAGACAACGTCACAAAATGAAAGTAAAAATTGGATAATATTTAATGTTAGGTATGTGGCAATGAAGTTTTGTTTTATATTATATGACCTTAGGTTTTATTAGCAGCCATAAAGGATCATGCTTACAGATAAAAGTGTAATCGTAATAAACTCATAAAACTGCGGGGGTAGCTGGCTACATTTCACAGTGTAAGTAAATTTCATTTTTGACTGTGAACTTTATTTTTGCACGGGTGGTAGGTTTAAATTATTTATTTAAAAATTATGGTTGGTAAATAATAATCAGTATTCATTTCATTCATTCCTTTCATCACACACTGACCTGCTGAGGGCCTCCATGCTGCCAGGGGGGCTGACATCGAGATGGCCGTGGTGCGAGGCAGTGTCTGGGGTGTCTTGGCGAGCCAGAGGTATGGGAGTCGTTTCCATCACCTCTGGACTGGGACTCCTCAGCTCAGAGGCCAGGGGCAAAACTATTGGTATGGAGAGAGGCCGTGCATGGGGTAACCGAGAGGAGCGGTTGGGCTGAGGGGCGTCCTCAGGCATGCCGTCACTCTTCCCTTTCCTCACCTGTTTTAAAGAGAGAGAGAGAGAGATGCCAACAACAGGTGAGTCTCGTGAGAGGAAGTATGAGATATCACAGGAGGGAAATGACACATGGCTAATATTTCTGCTCAATCAAGCTCGTACAACCACAAACACAAAGAAACACACGGTAGAGCTTTCAGCCTTCACTCAGGTTACAATAAAACATGCATTTGAGGATCTTTTGAGGTGAAGCAGAGAGCAATAAAAGAACCACAAAAAAGGAGAAAAAACAGGTTAGCCTATAAAACTGTAAGGTTAGATTGATGTTTGCCTTACCGTGCTGACCCTGAGTGGGTATAAACAGCGTGAACCACCGACTGTAGTGTAGGAGAAGAACCTTAACCTAATTACAGCCACATTGTGAAAAGTACCCTTCTGCATTTTCAACCAAGGAGACCTGAAAGAAGTGTTAAAGAATGTGTCAAGAAGCTTTCTCTTAGTATATATGGAAAGCACTCCTACGGTTGCCCGTGTACACTGAGGCCAAATAGCCAGCTGGCTGTGGTAAACAGAGTATGGTCTGATGCCAGCAGCTGAAGTATTGATAATTGTCAAAAACACCCAATGCTGAAAGAGGCCTAGCTCTAGATAAATGTCTGTTGGTTTAGTTAAAAGGCTTACTTTTTTTCTTTACACCAATGCAATCAGTGGAACATCTCCATTTGGGGTTTAACTTAATGGGTTGTTCTAAAATCTATGGATGCTGCCTCCATTTGGACATTTAGTCATTGGTGCACTTAATGGGTGAATCTTTGGGAACATAATTAGCTCCACAAGCTTCTTTAACTAGACCAGGTATGGATTTTGCCCCTCAGGGTTTTGTAATTGATTTAGCTAAATTTGTCATTCACAGAAAACCACAGAGGGGTAAAAAAAAAAGGGGGGAAAGAATGTGGACATTAGCTTGTTTTTCAGGGGGTTGGAGCCTGTTTTGCCATACAGCCATCATAGAGAAAGCATGTACAAGTCCCCATTTTCAAATCCATAGAAACGGGTGCTTTGACAAAGGATTTCAACAGTGCTGGTGAGATGGTGTTGTCATCTTGGCAGTTCTGTGTTGTTAGGTTTGTCTCATTAACTGTTTTGTTTATGTCTTATTTTGCTTTATAAGATCAATAAACAGAAACTTGTATTGTGTTGTTTTTCTTTGAAAAATGGAAACTGAAATTGTTCACTTACTAATTACTTTACTGGAAACTATGTGTAGAGAATTGAAATGGCAAAGTCAAAAAAAAAAAAGGGACGCTCCTTGTTTCATTCCTTTCATGTGGCATACATACATACATACATACATACAGGTCATACATTTTCTTTGCAATGTATGATGGTAGTTATGGGAGGTTAGTCAGTAGATCGATAGAACTCCAGGTCACTTTCAACAACGCCATGCTGCCTTTCTGCCTATGCATAAAAACAAGCACAGAGCAACAACAAGTAGGAGCTAAATAGGCCAGATGGCAAAGGAGCCTCACAGACCAGAAGGAGGATATGACCTGGTTTCTAAATCATGGATTAACTTATAATTTGAAGTTTGTGACAAGAATCTCAAAAGACTGTAAATAAAACCAAATAAAATATTCAGAACTTAATGTTTTACTTTGCTTTCTCTCTGCTGTAATCTGCTACAATGGAAAGGCAGTTGTTGCTGGCCTGATAACAACTTATACCTCTGTTAACTGATCTCTATTCACTGACTGGTGACAGATGTCTAGTTTTTCAGAGGTGAGAATGCAATGTGATCTACACCTGTCCTTCTTTTCACCACTAGCACAAGTCCTTCACTAGACTTTTTTTTTTTTTTTTTTTTTTTAAATACTGGCTGTTGGCAGGAGCATTTTTGCTTAAAAGGATGAAAGCTGACATTTGCATATTTTGAAAAAGTACTGTGGTCTGACCATAGCAACAGAACTGTGTCATTAATCATATTAATTCATTAACAACAAGCATTTAGTAATAATGACTGTGTGCCTTTTGGAGTCCAAAGCTCAAGTATTGAAACATCTCATCAAATTCCCCTTTGATCACACATGCATCTGTTTTAATGGCAGGTGCATCATAAATCAACCAGATACAACAGACAAGTTTAGGGCTCCCTAGCTGAATTGTGTGTGGGTGTGTTTGTTTTGTTTGTGTGTTTTTTTCTCACCATTAGCCAACAATGACCTTAGGCACATAAATACTGCATAAATGATAGACTTAACAAATAACACACCTCACAGTGCCACAGCACCCAACCATGTGGTGTAGCTCCAGTAGTGATGTGTGAATGGTGACCAATACAAAAATTACACTTTGAACTGTATTTGTCTTTAGCAGTAGCGAGCATTGAGGCCAAATTTGGGTTGGGTCTGGCCTTGAGAGTTTTAATAGAAGAGATCCTACGGGAGTGTTTGGGAAATGTAGCTATAAAAAGTTAATATTTATAGTGATGAATCACTTTGATTAATCATTAAGAAGGTCAAGCTATTTACAGTATTTTAGTACAGTATTTTCATAGGAAGTGAGGGGTTTCTAGGAGTCTGTGGAATCAGCAGTGATATTCAAATTAATGTGTTTGGTGTTTCAGAGGCTCCTAAACATCAGACTGTTGATACTGTCATATTAGTTTACCCCTAATGGCTATTGGTCCGCCACCTGATGTTTCATTTGAACACTGTGTTGCTATAGCGACCCCCACTGGCAAAGCTCTATGGCAGTTGCTGCTTAATTGACATTGTTACATCAGCCATTTGCAAATGCCCTTGTTGGAGCATTAACTGTAGGTTCTCCTTTACCACAGCTGTTTTGTGATTTCTGACTTGTAATTTAGTAGATTTTAGTCTGAGTCCAGAATTACATTTACTGTCTGCCCTTTTATCTAGGTGTGTAAATGTATCCACTAAAAAATTCTAGTGTTCATGAGGAGGATAAACGAGTGAGTGTCTGAAATCTCTATTTATTGCTTACCATTGAGTAAACAATTTACCATTGATTATGGAGCCCAGTGAATGAATGAAAATGGGGTGATTTTGGACACAGCCAGTTTTTCTAGGATTGCTAACCAAGCTAACCAATACACTAGCTTTCTGGAGCAGCTAATGTGCTGCTAATGCAACACTAAGTAATGCTAACTGTAATTACGTGTGCATGTACTAAATTAATTAATGCGTTGTACTTACAGGAACTAATTGTTGATCATTCCTTATCAATGTGCTAATTCATTTTTGCAATATTTTTACTCTTACTCTGGTTTATGGAAACAGTTTCACTGTCACTTTCAATAGAACCTCAAAGGCTGTCATCCACCTCTACTGAAAGTGTGTTTGGCTCGATGCCTATCTGTGCACCTACGTACATGCATAATGAGAGCAGAGGGGCTTCTTAAAATTATAGTAACTTCACGCATTTAAAAGGGAGGGAAGGAGGGAAGAAAACATTCTTCATCAGCAGATGTTTTTACTCTCCTGAGATTATCCTGCTGTCAGTCAGCATTTCTTTTATCTCTAGAGTGACACTGGTCTTGACAGGTAGACCACATTTATGGTGTCAGATCTTTGTTCAAAACTGCATTCAAAACAACCACAGAAGGATTATCTAAGTCTGTTTTTGTCGGCAAACTGAAGCCAACCTCAGAGGAATTACTCATAATTCTATCACATATATAAATGAATGTATGCTAATTTTGAATTCATGTGAGATCAAAAGGTGCAGAGGATAAAACTTAACAAAATTGAATGTATAAAATGTAGCTCTCTTATTTCAAATAAATGAATCCTGAGCACAATTTCTAAAACATGAACACAAACAGGAAATTTCCAAGCTTTAATGCCACTCAAATCTATGGCCAAATGCTGTTTTTGTGGCAGGGCTCATCTGTAATAATACCAGAACGTAGTTGGAGGAGCATAACATAGCCCATCTTTGTCTCTCACTGCAAATAAGTGTGTTGTTTCCTGCAGCAGATTGCCTTTATCAAATCACATCATGTGACCGAGCAGCGAGGCCACAGGCATCAGAGGCTGTCTGAGAGATGACCTCTGGCTAATCAGGACTAAGGCAATACAGCAGATAAAGAAGCGGGAAGTATTTATTGGAAAGGGTGAGAAAAACCTGTAGTAAACCATTAGGCCAGCCCCTTAAACAAGAACAATTGATCATAGTGACAGTAACAAACTATTCTATTTCTGTACCTTCTTCTTCCGTGGTCTTGCCTTGGGAGTGCCAGAGGAGGATTTGTTCAGATGTGCTGCATTTTCTGTCAGGTTGTTTTGTCCAACCTTGGAAAATGCATAGACAGAAAATGAGAGTAAGAAAAAAAAGGAGAATAAACACATATAAATGATTATTGTAGCATAAAGATTGCATTCATTGAGACAGCCATGAGCATTTTACACAATCAGGAAAAGTGAGTGAATAAAATACAGTCAGGCTACTAGATAATACAGATCAATTTACTGCATGTTGTTATAAAAGTAGATACAGTAGCTGTTCTACACTGTGCTACAGTAGGAAAATAATAGGGAATGCTTTATCATTTCTAAATTGTACCACCAATTAAGTATGAAAATAAAAATTTTAATACTTGCTGTCAATTCTAAGTCACACTAACCTCTTTCAAAATTTCAGCAAGTGCAAGGAAATGCTAGTTTCAACAGTGCTTTTTTTAAACATAAGTGATAGGTTATCAGTAATGTCTGTTATATATGGTTAAAAAGGCCATCAACTATTCACACTGAGTGACCTCAGATACCATTCCAGGCAGTATGGACAAGTCAGCTGACACTCATAACATCTTTAAAACTCACAACAACAAAAAAACACAGACGCACACAGGAATGGCTTTGGTGTTGGAAAACAGCTTTTCCAAAACATGCCCATGTTATGTTAATCACGTCACACAGATCACATGGTTGGTGTTAAAAAGGACTATGTAAGGGAATTTGAAAGGTTCAAGCAAGTTTGACCTGGGAATGTCACACATAAACAGCAACACTGCATTTCACAGCAGACTCCGACCAAAGCTTCGATAACATGTACACCTAGGAGCATTAACGCATAATAAAGACGCACACATGCAGGTGTGCTACTGAAAAGCCGAGCACGCACTTTCTTCCTGGGAACTGGTGTCGGTGTCTTTGCATTGAGGTTGCTGGGTGACGTCTTTGTGTCTGTATCTGTCACATGCGCCTCCTAGGATCAGGAAGACGACAAAGAAGATGGTTATTTTTTTGTATTTGTAATCCATGTCTTACAAACAAATACAACAAATCACATTTAACAGAAGCTAGGAAGCTACTGCAGCCATATATGCAGTAGCTATAAAATATCTTTTTATAATCAAGGAGTCATTTTAGAAGGACTCCTGGGTATGTGTGTTCTACTTTTTCTTTTCTTCTGAGAGCTCTAACAACAGGGACCAGAATAGATTTAAACAGGTTGACAATTTGCATCCTCAAACGCATACACTCACATAAACACTTTCATGTACACCCTCTGCTTGTCAGGGTTTTATGGCTGGAGGTAAAGGCAACACCAGTGATCACATGTATTGCGTTCAAAGGCATTAAGAGGAAGGTCAGGAGGCGAGGGGCCTCCACAGACTGTGTGTGCATGCACATACGTGTAAGTGTTTTTGTGTATGTGTGCATGTTTGTGTGTAAGAGGATCTTATCTGACTGAGGGGTTTCCCATGGGTCAGCGGGATCTCATGTGGCAGTGCCCTTACAGGCATTCACAACACAGCACCGATATTTGTGACTGGAAATGTTATTACAAAATAATTACACTCATCTACATCTACTACAAAGTGTTTCCAGATTTTATTTTATTGCTACGAGAAATCTGGACCTTTGGATTTCAGGTTGCATGCAATCACTTAATTTCTAAAATGATCAACATCTTCAGCAGTGCTTTTTGGCATGGTAAGCATGGTGTCACATGGGAACTATGTTTGGTAGGCGATGTACCCCGTGAGAGGTGAGAGGTCAAACCCACAGGGAGCTAAATACCTTGATCATGGCCTGGTCACATCACTGTGGCATCACATGGCCAATGTCACATTTCACACCAATAACACACTCATCAATCAACAATTAAGGTGTTGTCTATAGACTGTGGTGAGGGATGTCTTTCCAAAAGTGGACATTCAGACAAGGTTTTGCCATTCTGCTTGTGATGCAAAAGTCTGTTGTTTATTGCAGCTGTTGCAGCAGTAAACATTCTTCTCATTTCACTTTTTTAACTTAACTGGAACCAACTTCAGTTTATTGTAATTTTATGCTATACTTTTCTTATTGCATTTTGAACAAAAACAAGTCCAAAGTCTTTAAAGATATTAAATATGTCATGCTAAGAGAGATGGTGATCATGTCTGTTTGCACTCTCTCGGCATAAAACACACAGTTTTGATTCTTCAACAGGAATTTTTTGAAGGGAGTTTATGACTAATTCCAATTATAGACTCTATTTTGTATTTTAAGAAATGTAGACTGAATATGACATCAAATGACTTAAATTACTTTGATGGTTTGGTGTGTTGTGCTTGGTTTGTTCTTTCTTCATGTAACAAGAAGCTGCCAGGAAAACCAGCAGACCAGACAAACCAGCTGATCAATAATGACATCAGCCATCGAAGCAGCAAATATAAATCAACAACCGGAGACTCAAAACAGCCACCTGTGGAGGAGTCCTTCCTGTGAGGCTGTGATATAAGATCAATACATAAATCCAGTTTAGCTTGACATCATGTTATCCTATATTTATTTATAAACCACCAACCTCCTCCAAGTGGATGGGCAGAGGGTGAGGGCAGAGGGCAGAGGAATTCACACTTTTTAAAGTGCATGGGCAAAACATGTGACTCACAATTAATTGCCAATTAGTTACCAGCTGCACCACATTGTTCTGACCACCAGCACAGATCTATTCTATATAAACATCAGCAGCTGCTGTTTCAACGAGTATGCAACACCTTGACAATGATAAGGGTTGATATTTCCTCTGTCAGGCCTTCTTTTTCTTTGTCCGTCTCAAATATATTGCTGTAGTTCTGGATGAGCTTGACCATGATCTTGTTGCAGATATTTTGGTCCTTCATTGCTTCAAAACCAGGAGCCACACTGGAAAACAGAGAGAAGAGACAAAACAAAAAAAAGCAAACAAAATGAGATTTTATCAGAGTAGAAATTAAGTTGAGAATTTGTTAATGAATGACTTTCTGGTTGTAATTTTACTGATCTGCTGTGTTGAATAAAAACATGCTAAAATAGTGATTTTGGTTCAAGAGTGACACAGAAATTGAAACTTAGTCATCAGTTAGCTGACCTGATTAACACAGCAGAATTCAGCTGCCCCTGTAAGTACAGTGTCTGATTCTACTGAGTTGTTACTGAACAGCTGTGTGAGGTATACACTTGGCTGTAGGCCTCACTGCAGGCCTAATTATATAACATTAACACACAGGCTGTGATGAAGAGAACAGGTTGTACATATGAAACAGTATCCAGTGCAGTTTCTTCTTCTCCATTTTCTCTAGTCAGACTTGATCTATTTTCTATGCAGGGTTCCCAAGCTTGAGATGGTGGGCATCTCCAGTAATAAAGGGTTATTACTTCACCAGTCACCAGTCTGGAGTGACCAGTCTGGAAGAACAGTGCAGCTGTATGATGGGAACTGTAGGGGTATGAATTGTAACGCACTGTCCAGTAAGCCCATCATAAAAATACTAGTGAGAACAGAGTTACTTAGCTGAGCAGCTGCAGGGAGGCGTATGAAGCCAATGACTGCATCATTTATTTATGAACATCAGAGTAATATTTAAAAACACATTAAGGTCGGACTGTTTTCTATATCTCATATGACATTTACTTCAAAATTGTTCACTAGACTCAATTTGTATTTGTGGAGTGTGACCTTTAATTTATATAATGACAGAATAAAACATCAGATTTCAGAACTTTTTGCAGACCAAATTTTTTTTGATTCATGTTTGACCCACAGAGGAAACCAGACTTCAGGTGTCTGACAAAATATAAAGAAGCTTGTTAGTGGGAGATTTATGAGCAAGCCCTGGATTTCAGGAACATCAGGTGCAGCCATTGTGCACTGTAAAAATATTGTGATTTTAGCTTCTCTAAATAAGCTACAGCACCATCTGCTGGCCAAACATTTTGACAGAAACAAAGTACAGCAGTACAGCTTTTATGTTAGTACTTTCAGATTCCTTTGTATTTTGAACTATACAGTTACCTTTTTTTTTTTGATTTATGTACTTAATTGGTTCCCCAATATTAACAATTTTAAAAAAATGTTTCCATTTTGAAACACAGACCAAAACTTGTAGTCCTTTTAACTAAACACTTTTTTCCCAGTCTTTAGTTATGGACCAAATTTGACTTGACAACTTGACTTGGGGTTCATTATTTTACTCTATACGTACTGAACCATTCTACCCATCCTTCTGCTCTGGCATATGGAGCCAGTGTTTAACATCTGACTCAAAAAACAGAAATAGTGAGAGGATGATTCAATTTCTCAACATCCATTATCCCGACTGTATGTCTGACTATTTTTCTTTCTGTCTCTTGTTATTTAAAGACTGCAACAAACAGTCTGCAGAGATCAAGACACTAAACTTCAGGAATGTCAGTTATTTTTTTCAAGGATATGAAGACACTAAAGCAGGCCTGTATGAAAGACTGAAAAATGTAATAAATACAATAAGTTCAGTCTAGTCAGCCTATGCTGTTGAGTGTGAATCATTAAGACCAATGTCAGACTGATGTATTTATTGACTCTTAACCCAGTAAATGGAATTTGGATTGTGTGATAATGATACAGGTACACTTTGACTGGTACACCTTTGCCATTTTAAAATAACAATACAATGCTTTTACTATAACCACTATTGACTGTTTAGGTTCACTTCCATCAACCTCATTTCCAGCCGCAGCAGGCAGCTGTTTTCAGCGGAAAAAGTGCTACACTGCCTACTCAGCACCAAATGAAGGACAGACAAATTAGCAGCTAGCTAATTGAACCCAGTGGAGCATTCAGCAGCTTAAGATCCAGATACTTCCCTCAGAATTAGTAGAGACCAAAATATCAAAAGGAGATTGAATGTTGGACTTGACTTCATCAGGTCGCTATAAAAGGTGGCAGCATTCTGTTTACAGCTTGTTGCAATGGACCCCAGGAGGCCAAAAAATTAAAAAGATTAATCCAGGGTGAAAGGCATTAAAGCTTCAATACATGTAAGTACTTTAAGTTTCATTGAAGTTTCATTGTTTGGTTATACAGTACTGTTCAAAGGCTTTAACACTAAAAGTAAAGTGAGGATGCTCTCAAAAATATCACCAGATTAGTATTTGTCCACCCTTTTAACACCCTTTGCCTTTAAAGCTGTACCGGTTCTCCTTGGTTCACATGTACATATGTTTTTCAAGGTACTTGGCAAGTAGGTTGTTCCAATCATCTTGGAGAACTGGTCACAATTCTTCTGTGGATTCAGGCTGAAGATAGTTCTTAAAGACTCTGATTGTATGTTTGGGGTTGTTGTCATGCTGCAGAATAAATTTGGGGCCAATCAGACACCTCCCTGGAGGTATTGTGTGATGGATTAGAGCTGAAACATCTCAAATGCCTAAAGCTTTTGCACACTACTGTATATGATGGATAGAAAGCAAAAAGAGAAAGCTGCAGTGATGGTGACATTGGTCCACCGGTATTTATTTTGCATGCTTGACCACATGTACCCTCAAAAAAAGCTTAAACTCACTGGAAGACACTGGGTCCAAACACAGTGGCGAGGTTGAGGGCAGTCATGCGGTTGTCATTGTGGTTGCACTCCACAAGGGTGAGGAAGTGGCAGAGGTAGCGGAGGAGGCTGTGGTGGACATCTGGAAGTTGCTGAAGCAGATCTCTCACATCTAACCAAGAGCCATCTTCACCACACTCTACAGACACAGAGCAAGATGTCAGGACAGGTCAAAAGCTGGGATAGTATTCACTCAGAAAAACGGAAACTTCTGGGAATCAAACTTTTGGACAAAAGTGAATACATGCTACAGTGCTTGAAGCAGCCCTTTGTCAACACTGGCATTCTGCTCAAATCTATTCACACTCAAACAAATGGCCAGTGATTAGTGACATGACCGACTGGATTTCATTTGGAGCTTTTCACAATATGCAAAACATAAATAGACTTATAGTGAATAATGTTCAAATCCTAAGTTTAGTAAATAGTTTTACAGCCAGTCTCCAGCAAGCAGTGATCGCTCCATCCGCCTGCTCTCTGTGATATCTAATCTTGAGTTGTGGTGACTAGTAATACATGAGCATTAGAGCAAAGAGCCTAAAATATGTTGATGCTATTACTCAGGATACATAATTGGGTCAGAGTTGGATAAACGGATATGGCTACTGATCCTGAATGACTGAGTGACGCAAACATTGAGAGCGTGCATCTACGTGAGTGTGAGCACGTAAACAGGTATGTGTGCGCGTCTGTCTGAATATGTAGAGCGGGAGAAGGGGAATCATGGCTTATAATAATGGCAACAGCATTCACAGCTGCTATTGTTGCCCCTGAGTAAACTTCAGATTGTGCGTGTGCATGTGTATAAAGTGTTTTTTTTTTCTTTAAGTTGATCAAGTTCTTACAGGTTGGTACATCAGACAAACGCACTTTGAGGGATGAAAAAATGAAAAAATTTCATGCAAATACACAGTATATGTGTATAAACAAAGAGGATGCACATGAAAAGACAAGCCAACACAAAGCCAGACAATCACAGGAGCAAATCACTGCAGAGAATGACATGTGCTTTGTGTGCACATAGAGAGGGACCAGCAGAATCTATTGACTTTAAAGTGAGAAAACTACTATTTTTTGGGATTTTTACTGGATATATTACTGAAAATGAATAATTGATTCCAAAATATCATCACTGAATAATATCTGTCCACCAACTAATAAATGAATCACTGCACAATATGACCTAAGCATAGCCCTTAACAGCCAGTGTTAGTGTTACCCAAAAAATGTAAATCATTCCAAATTTTTCAACCCTCATGACATGAGGCAAGACAGCATACTTTATCACTTATTTGATTCATAATGGAGACAAATAAAGTATATCTTGACCTTGACATGTACAAATATAATTGATCAATGAGTATTTTACCTAATCTGAACTGTCTGTCAGTGTGTATACTACCAATCAGTTTGCACATTACAATCCATCCATCTATCATAAACTGTTTTTAATACTGGCAAGGAGGCCAAGGCCATTTATAAAGATTACAAAAGTCATTTTATTCAGTAGCTATGGCCAGGTCCTGCACCAAGGAGTGGTTTTCTAATGCAGCCTTTGGCAACAGGCCCTGAAAAACAGGCTGATACTGAAGCAGTCTATCAGGGCAAAACGAACACTGCAGCCAAAATGTACATACCTCCTCCATTAAACAGATTAAACCCTGTGATGGAGGAGAGCAGAGAGTGAGCACAGACACTTCACCTGCCAAATGACTTACTTTACCCTTTATGACCTCCAAGATTATTGACAGAAATATGAGGTCCATCATTCTTCTCATCACAGACTCTCTCTCTCTCTCTCCCACTCACACACACTTAACTCAGCAGTGCCTTTATATGCAGTGCCTGGTGTAGATGATTGCAGTGCTAACAGTAAATTTCACCACCTAAAGATAGCTTTGCTTATCGTCCAATCACAGTCATGACCCAGATATTCACTATGCTTGTCAGGGTATGAAATATCACATTGTGGATTTGGGAAAATGTTCGGGATAGATATCACATGATGTTTGCAAACATCTAAAACTGGTCTACTTGCGCTGGTAGAAAAAATCTAGAAGCCAAATAAGCAAACAAGCAGAAATTTTCTCCTACCTTGGTAGTGCTGTATCAGTGCCTGCTGGACTGTTGAGCCTACCAGACCCTCTGGTAGGTCCCTCAGATACCGTTTAAGCAAACTGGCCACCGTACATGTCTCAGATTCAGAGAGAAGGTCCACCTCCTCGCCACCCTCCAGCCGCTGTTTCAAGGTCTCCACAGCCCGGACATTCCCATTCACTCTGAACAGACCCTCCTGTTGCAGGGCTGGAGGAAAGTCAGAGAATCACTTTTCAGTTACAGTTAACTCATGTGGGATTAAGATTCAGACTATCAATTATTCAATAAGAGATGTTATTTGGAACACAAGTAGGCTGGGCCCTTAAAAGTGTGACTATCTACCATGATGTTTTTGATGGAGGCTGCAAAGTAATTTTATTCTAAATCTAAGGTTTAGTTGGTTCTTGATAGCAGACAGGAGGCAGGCAAGATTTCCATTAAATATGATGTGGATATTTATTGTCTACAGATGATGATTTGAAACTTGAAGTTTACTGTAGCACTAATAACAAGTCTGGATTTTCCTTTTAGTCCATGATAAGATGGATCCTACATTTTTGGTGACCCAGAGACCTTTACTCCAAAGCCAAATCCTATAGGGAGTGCAACTAAGATTGTTTTTTATTGATTGATTTATTTAGTCTGTAAAATGATAAAATATTGTCCAAAAATTACTATCACTTATGTCAAAGAAAATGGCAAATCCTCACATTTGAAAACCTGAAACCATACAATAGTTGGCCTTTTTGTCTTATCAAGTAATGGAAGTGACGGTCGATTATCAAAATAATTGTCAAAATAGTTGCGGATTCATTTTTCGTCAATCGACTAAGCTAATACGTTATCAACAAATACCCATGATTTTAACAATCACATGGCTTTTATTCTTATTAGTCTTCAGGACAAAGTGAGCATTTTTAGCCCCACTGTGATGTAACAATGGCATTTAATTTTAAGTGATATGGAGAAGGCGTTTCTCCTGGTCCTGGTAAGTAGTTAAATGATGTAGCTAATGTTAGCCACAATCGTTTTATTTTGCCTTTCTTCAGTTTGAACAGCGCTGAAGTAACGATACGTTACACAAATGACAATATGAACAGAAGCCATTCTAATAGTTATGATGTAGCCTTACCTTTGGCACAGTGGTAGTTAATCTTGAAATATGTGTATGTGACTCAGGTGTCAGTTAAAATAGTAGCTAGTTACCTTCTAGATTTGTTATTGTAGGTTTCCACGGCAGCCACTACATGCTGCTAGAGATACATATTTTACGGAACGTGCTTTCAATAGGCCGGTTCACCAAAATTACAACGACACGAATAGCTTCTCATTTAACTATCATGGTATCAATACCTTTAAATTTTTAGATTTTGTTTAATTTTTACACGTTTCCGGATTGTCTCTGTCCGTTTTAAGATGTCCGTTATTTTAAAAACTAACGGCTGAGCAATTAACTAACTCTCTGTGCGGACGTCTGGAACTACTTTCCACCTAGGAAATAGTCCCGATTAATCAACTAACATTGTATCTTGTGGATTATTTAAAGCAATATCTTTTAATCTAATCTTTTAAAATCATGGCCTCCTATGCCCCCCTGGTGAAATCTGGTTGCAGCCTTACAGTTCTGATGGAAAAGTACTACAGATCTCCAGTGTTATATAGGTCTCTGGAAAAAGCAGTCCGATAAAACACAACCTTACAACAAATTAGTTCAATATAAACTAAAACAATTTAAGTTTTAAAATTAGATTTTGCGACAGTCCCTCTTTAAGACCAGGGCCACCAGATGGAGGATGAAGGACCTGTCATAACTGATATTCTGCTTCAGTGGAACAAATTTTTAATTTATCTGCAATTGATTAAATTATTTAGACAGAAATAAAGGTGGGCCCTGCCTGACATTCACCTCCATGGTACTGTGGTGAAGGCAGACACCTCAAAGATGGAGGTCTTAAAATAAAATCCAAAATCTGCATGGACCATTTTCACTTTTCTCTGAGAGGTAATTTGTTATTCCAGCCAATGTCCATCTCAAATTGTTAGAGGATAATTTGTGTAGTGTAAAGTAATAGTAAGATGTATATGTATCTGCACACTGAAACACCAAGATAGAGCTTGTTAGTCTTACAGACATTAGTCACCCTTATTATAGTCTTAATGCACTACTCAGGACTGGTTCATAATGTCAAAAATAATACTGTACTAAACTGAAAAGGGCCCAAAGTCTCAGTAGCCACAAGGAACAAGTTCCACTTTCTGGGACTGACATCTAGTGATTAAACAGAAGAACTGCAGAAAATAATAAAATAGGTCATACCAGTGTGTTTCCTTGTTTTAGCACTTAAAGTTGAAGTGCAGATTTAGTGTTTGCAAAACCAAACCAGTGTATGGTCCTTTAATTGTGCCTTTCTGAGAATTTTTATTTTTTCTTGCACAAAATAAAACAGATGCCTTTAAATATTATATAATTAAAACTCTTAATTTACCAAATTAATGTGATAAAACAATAAGCCACATGATACATCAGTTGAACTCCTATTATGTTACTGTGTAAATATGGGATTTGATCTGGTTTAAAAAATGTTAAATTTATAATATATAATATTGTTTGGAAGAAACCATCACTACCTCTTGAACTGCTATAATAAGGCTATCTTATTTTATTTTTTAAATCAAAGCCTACACTAAATAAAAGAGAAGTTCAGAATGGGACACTAAGTTTGTTTTTCCTCACCATGCTTGCGGAGATGCTCCACCATCCTCCGCACCACCAGAGGCACACCATCCTCCACCAGGCCCTTCTCTCGCAACTCCAACAGGGACACTCCAAACAGCTTGGTGTGCTTCGCAGCCACTGTCCTGGGTCTCAGTAAAGGTATCTGGACAATCTTCTTCATGTCTTCTTTAACCTGCACTGCTGTCTTGTTGTGCTGCAGGAAGAAGAGCAGAGAGCAGCAGTCAGCCACTGACACTATGGGCACAGAGGGCAGCGCTGGATCCGGCATCAGGTTAGACACCACTGAGACACCTGTCCTGGAGGAGGGAGGCTCACTCTGCTCCATAGGCTAACAGGTGTGTGGGGAGGTGATGCTGGTTGGGGTGTTTCTATGTGTGTGAGGAGAGATGAGAGGAAGAGAAAGGGGTGGGCTGGACGTGCATGTGTTGCTACAACAAATATCAGGTTACCATGCAACACCTTTGGTTAAAGGAATTGCCAGAGTGACACGCACACCTGCACAAATAGACATACATACGAACAGGAAGACAAACAAATACATGTTCAGGGGAGGAAATGGCCAGCTGTTACTAACAATTTGAATGCGTTGTAAGGAAAACATATCAGAGGAGTGTGTGCTGAGAGCTGGAAGAATAATCAGTCTAAATGCCTAAATTTGGACATGAAATGTTGGAAGATAAAAAGTTTTTACTGGAGAGCTCTCTGACTAAACACTGTGCCTTTCAGCAGTGTATGGAGCTTATGTATGAGCTGAGAGGAAAGCATGCAAGAGCTGGCTCCTTCAACAGAAATGTCTTTTAAGCTAGTGAAGTGTGTGTGTGTGTACGTGTATGTGTTTGTGAAGTAAAGGGACACATCTGTGAGTGTTATGTAGTGATTTAATGTAGCAGCTGGTTAAGGTGGAACTAATTTTAACAACTGCTTAGTAGTTTGATGTAGATCAATTGGTCAAAATAATGAGCAGATTAATAATTTATTTAAATTGTTAGATGCAGCCCGACTGCAAAGTAATTAGAGAACTATAGTACATTACATGTTGTGGAATTAAAAGTATAGTATTTCCCTCTTAAATCTAGTGGAGTTCAAATTTAAAGTAGAAGAAAATAGGAATACCGACGTAAAGCACACAAATCTCGAAATTGTATTTAAGTACAGCAGATGAGTAAATGTGCCTCTACTACTGTTGTGCTCTATTTTCCAGGCTGAGCTCATTCCTCTCAGCAGGCACAACCAGTCTAAACACAAATTGAATGTGTTAATTCACTAGCCGTTAAGTACATCTTATCTGATAACTACTGTTAAGGCAAACAGTGCCACATGTTGTCCCTACCTGTAGGTACACAGACTGTACAACACGCGGTTACTGTCTTTCTCTGAGTGTACAGAGATATTATCCCCATTCAATGAGGCAACATTTGACAGAAGATGGTAAATTACTGATTTGTACATTTACCTACAGCATGACACATTTCTGTCCTTGTTTAGTTTAGTTAGGAGCAAGAGAGAAAACACGCAAACCCAAGCAGCATTCGGACACAGGGTGCAGGAAGAAAAGACTTCCTGTACTTTAGTGCACCACAGACTCAGAGCAAGTTTTACTCTTGTTACCATAGCTACAACTGCACCATGTGACATCTTGTCGTTCCAGAGTTCACCACTTCAAATGAGTGAACTGACCCACACAGTGAAATGAGAGGCCCTGACTATGATCTGGTCGCAATAAGGTCCACAGTGACACAGTTAGTTCACTGTATTAGGAAGTTAGAAGTGGGTGGTGAAGAAGAGTTGTGACTGATATATATTCCCTATGTGGCCAATTGTGTAGACAGAATGGGTACAAGCATGTGCCACACTCAGATCAGCTAATTAAAAACCCACCTCACAGATGGCGCTAAGATGGCTAAGGAGACAAAATCTTTACCATGGCAGATGCTCTAATACAACATACATTCACACTCAAATGAACATCTGAGGAGCTTTTACAGGCATGGAGATACACGTCAATGCTGCTCAATCATCTACTCCTCTCTGACAGGTGCACAAAAATATGCCATTTGCACCTTCCTGGTGAGGGTGAAATGTAATTAGATCAATGTAATTAGGATCACTTAAATTTTGACTCTGACTGCTTCATGCCTTGATGGCTGCCTGAGGAGCAGCAAGACTTAATGGGGTAAACAACACTGATGAATTTAAATGTAATAGAGTGGACAGGTCCTCAGGTGTGAGGAGCTGTAAGCCGTCAGTATGAATAAAAGGCTTGGATAGTAGAAATTAAAAAAGAAAGATACACAAAGATAAAGGTGTCTATATCTTAAGTCTTATGATGAGGAGGGTTGATAATACAGCTTTTCAAAGTTAATGGCATTTTTATCGGTCAGTATTTTCCTTTAGATTACTTGATCGTACACTTTTTTTTGTACATTGTACATGCACAACAGTCTATTGTTGGTAATAATGTTAATAGGTCACAGCACAGTTTAAGTAGCAATGGGCAACTTTTCTTGGCTGCAAACTGGCTCCGATAGTATTACTACTGCTGCAGGTGTTAAAGAGTTAAGCCGGTCTGAGCTTGGGGTGACTTTGATAGGCCTTACTGAACAGATGTCTCCTAGATCTGTCTTTACTATCATGCACGCACGCACACACACACACACACACACACAAACAAACCCACACACACACACACTCACACACACACACACTCACACACACACACACTCACACACACACACACTCACACACACACACACTCACACACACACACACTCACACACACACACACTCACACACACACACACTCACACACACACACACTCACACACACACACACACACACACACACACACAGCCTTGGTATTGAGCTCTACACTTAAACAGACAGCTAACATTGATGGATGTTATTGTGAGCACATGCAGACCTACAGTACATTCACCATTAAAAAACAAAAACAAGTCTAAGGATTGTGACAGTGATCCAAAAGTGGGACCTGAGGGGGATACTACATATTCCCTGTTCATAGACCAACCACATGTATGATATGGGATTTTAAACATGGTTTCCAGACAAATTTGACCTCTTGCTGTGAGTCTGTCCGTTACAAGTAAATACTTGGTCGTCACTTGTTGTAAAATACCAATAATATACCCAAAACGATTTAAAGGTGATGTTGTCAACAAACCCCAAATGGCCTCAACACTATATTCAAGAACAACAAAAGGCACTTCATACAAGTACAGGGGTAATTCTTACTGATAATTAATAAACTGCATAAAAAATAGCCTTAAGCCTTATATAAGAATAGTCTTAAAAATGACAAAAGACAACACAATGCAATGATAAACATGCAATAGCAATGGAAAGCATTAATTCCAAAGATGACAATAACTAGATCGATAATCCAGGGAACATCCACAACACAATATAGGAAAAACTCATAAAATTAGACAATGCTTGGGGTAAGGCAGCAGACCATGAGGCTTCTAGAAAACCCTGAAAAATAAATGTAAATGATTCCTGGGTGACTGGCACAGTGATTTAACATGGCAGATGGAATAATAAAGGGCTGCCTTGACTGTCAAGGGTTTCTTTTTCTTTATTTGGTCACCTGATAAATTAATGCAACAACTTATACTCTGCAAGTATGTGAATTGCAATTGAAAAATAAAAAAAAAAAGTGCTTGCTGTCAATTTCAAGGTTTTCATGAAGTTGGCCTTTTCACATTCAAACAGCTGCCACACACACAAAAATAGAGCCTGTGTGAAGTAAAGCAGCCATGAATAAAGGAAAACACATACAAGGGGTATCCATTTGCCTCTATTGTTTACCAGGACAGTCTGCTGTGATTAGCCCAATAATCCTCACCCCTTCCCCTCCCCCATTCTTAAAATGCTTTCACATTACAACTTCTGACAGTGAGAAAGAAACCTATTGTCAAGGGACTGCCGAGAGACTCTGTGAGCTAATGACTGCTGGAAGTTTCCCCTCTCTCCTTGATAAAAGTGTCTCAGTATTGAGCTTGTTTTCAAGTGTCAGGTTGAAATACTTTTCTTGAACATTTTGGATAGCTGAAGTGGGTGAACAAGTGTGTTTTGCATTTAACCTGTGTCTTTGACTTCCTCATGAAGGGGCTAGCAAGCCCAAACATGTGCCCTCTTTTCCCAACCCTCACCCCCCCCAAGCCCTCCTCCCCTGCCTCTCTCTTCCTCTCTCTCTCTCTGTGGGTGGCCAGTAAAGCAACTGGTAGCAAAAGCACCACAGGCACAAGAAGCAACAGCTGTTCAGGCCACAGAAACTATCCTCCCAAACACATGGAGTTTTAAAACTGTATACGAACATGAGACTTTTATCCTTATAAAGGCACTGTTTCCATTTTTGTGGAAAGTGACCTCATTGTGCCGCTGGATCATTGCTTGGAAAAAATGACAGGTACAGACAGGAGACGTGAAGCTCACAGTGTGTTTTTTGTCCCTGCTTTTTCTCTTGTGCAGCTGTACAAGGATGTGGGAGTAAAAAGCAGATACTTGCCGGCAACAAAGCTGCTTTCTGTTAACACTGCAAGGAAAAGTATTCATCTTGACGCCAGGAGTCAAGTATTTGTTGAGAAAAGTTACTTTAATGTAGTGAGGGGGAGTTAGTTACACTGCAGGGAGAAGAGATTTGTTCTTCCTTGAACTTTTTACAAGACATCCAGTGTCCACCAGAACATCCAACACCACACCGCCACAAAAGAGTGTATAGACTGGCACTAAATAACACAGACCCGTTATGCATTCTTTAGCCCTTAATCACAGGTTGAATGGGAAGTCTTTGAGCCAATTCAGGCTTTGTAGCTTCTACTCACACAGATGGTCAGAGCTCCTGCCCCCATTCTCCCACAGAAGAAACGCCTGCGGAGGCAAAGATGAGGGGAAAATTTGTTGCTGTCCTCCCTCCTCCTCTTCTCCTCACTCTGTGCCAGGACACACTTTTGGATTTTCCCCAGTGGTGGGAATCCCTTTCACCTTAAAATATTCCATCCAAATAATCCAAAAACACAACACAGATAATCCACGCTGGGAGAGAGTGTAAAGAAGTGCTGTCACTACCGGCAGAGTATATACTGTCCGACCCATGAGCACAGATTAGTGCTTGTCTCTTTCTCTTCCTCCCTCTTTATTCCCCTCTCTCCTCCTAGGCTGAAATCTGAGCCGAGCTCTCCCATTGGCTGAGTTGCCTGGTCATGTGATTAAGGGGTTAAAACCCAAAACTTTAAATCTGTGCCTGCAGGATTCATCTGCCTGTGAATAAGGGAAGAAAGGAGGAGGGAGCTTTCTTCAGCAGTGAGAACTGGAAGGTCGGCCTGAAGAGAAACAAACTCATGTTTTGTTAAAACTGTAGCTGCGCTGTAATAACACACAGAAAAAGAAAATATAACTGTTTTACAGACTGAAACATGGCTGCAATACTCACAATAGATTTATCACTCGGGCCAGTTTTCACATTGTATTTAATGTAATTTGAACAATGTCAAAACATTGTAATTTATGATAACTTATAATTATTTAATTATAATGTTATTATACATACACATTTAAACTCATAGCATTCATAATAATTGACAGTTACACATTATGAATATGGGAAAGGACAGTAAAGGCCTTAACATCAATGTCATATTTATAGTTTCAATCAATTATACACAGAATTTCATCGCCAAATGCATTTCTCTAACTTAAGAGATAAATAGAAGAATTCTAGATGACTAAACTACACCATGTTAAATAAAAGTTGTTCTGATATCATTTCCTCACTGGGAAGCAGGAGAAAGATGCCTTATAGCTTATAACAGTATCACTCAGCATAATACTGAGAATTCACCAGACGGCAACACTTAAAGGTTAACCCTGTATAAAAAGGTACAATGACTTGGTTCGTAGAAGCATAGAAAAGAACAGAAATTAGCAATAAACACCGTCAAAATCAGCTTTAGTTGGTTTTGCCACTTTCATAAATAAACTTCTTGATATTGTCGTTGATCCAGTCGCTGAAGGCAGAGACACGGGTGAATACAGACGGTTTCTTGTCTTTGATGCAGCCCCGAGGTCCGAAGCTTACAATACCGTGAACCTCCCAGGTTGTTTTGGGTCCAGCAGCCGCGCAGGCGAAAGGACCCCCAGAGTCACCCTGCAGGAGAACAGGAGGAGGGAATCAGCAACAATTTACTGTATAGGTGAGAAGATGTGCTAGCGAGTATTTGATGTTGACGGCTTCTATAAATCATCTCTGCACCATACAATTAATAAATGTCAATATTTATCAAAACCCTGAAAGAGTTTTTCTGGAGGAAAATGTCAATGTTGTGTTTATAAGGCTGTACTGAAATTTCGAAGCCTTCTGTGTTTTTCTGGAGTACTTCTCTAAAATTTCTAATCTTCCCATTTCCTTGCTTGCATGGTTGCTCATCATGGCAAACAAATAATGTTCCTATGTTCTATTGTGCAATTATGTGTGAAAACAGGGCAACCATTCGAAATCAAGGCTGACTGATCACAAACAAAACAGTTAACAAGATGTTACATAAGGGACAACCTAATCGTTAGAGGCCAGCATATTTATGTAATGTTTGAGAAAAAGCATGGAGGGAATTCCAACAAACAAGTACCATCCTCTTCTATAAAAAAGTAATCCATTGTGTCAATTTAAACAGTTGTCATTTTTTTTTGAATGCATTCCCTCACCTGGCAGGCTGATTTAAGCTCATCTGGGGACTCATATCCAGCACAGATCATGGAGGGCCTGAGGGTGTCCCACCAGTAAGAGGGTTTACTGCAGGTTTGAAAGTCAACAACAGGAAGGGCTGCCTGATTTAGCTTCTCGGCCACTTTGGGGAATAGATTACCTAAAACAGAAGTGAAAAGGAAAAATATATATAAACATCCAACTCTATGTGTCCAGTATAACAAAGCCTACAAAGGGGTAACAAAACTGGATTCACGTATTTACACAAAGGCACCATACTGGCACCGTACAGATTTTATTTTGGGAGCAAAGGCAGCACCTACATCTACAACTACAATTCACTCTGTTCTAAAAGTTCAAGTAGTTAAAGTTCCTGTAATCATTTCTACCTTTCTCGTCTCCCCATCCGGTGACAAAGCAGGGTGTCCCAGCAGGCATCACAGCCCCAGGTTTTGGCAGACAGATGGGGCTGATCTCCCTCGTCATATTGACAGGCTCAGCCAAATGCACCAGTGCTATGTCATTGGTGATGTCAGTACGATCCTGCTCGTACACGAACCCCTTGTGGCGGATGATACCATCCACTTTGTAGCACTTCTCTGCTGAGGGAACGTCCATGGAGGAGTTCATGTGGTGCTTCCCCAGACACATGCGCCAGTAGGAGGGTTTGTTCAGCGGGCTGAAGGTGAAGCAGACAATCAGGACTTGTTTTACTTTTCCCATTGGCTATTGTGTGAGCTGCAAGCCACGATAAAATGAAGAAACATAAGTGTTTGAAGAAAGAGCTGAACTTTAAACATTCAGTGACAGTTTTGCCACTTGGGGGCAGCAGAAACAAGTAACAAGCAAACAGTTGCTTATTTATACATCCGGCAGTTACAGAGCAACATCCAAATTTATTAATGTCTCTTGCCACCTGGCAAATTTACGTCCACTATTCACATCTATTTGCTCTGTTTTTCATTCATCCATTTACAATTTTTTTTTTTGCTGCTTTTGCAAAACGGTCTGCTGCTATAGTTAAACACAAAAACATCACCATGACTGCGGTGAGAGAGACCTCTGTAAAGGCTGAGCTGCAGATTCAAGAGATTAGTTCATCACTATGAGCGATCCCTTTTTACTGTCACATTTATTTCACGTCCTGATACAGTGTTACTGTAAAGAACAATGGGACTTTAAAATGGTATGTGCTGTAGGTCTTTCTGTAGTTACTGTATCTCTTACACCATGAAACAATGAGCAGCCGTCAGGATCCATTCTTCGTGAATCAAAGAGCCTCCACAGCCGTGCATGTAAGGTATGGGAGACATTGGTGAAGCCTGGGAAAGAGAAATACATTTTTATAAAATAACTAACTTCACTATCACTCTTGGCCAGTCAGGCACACAGAGATAGAGGTGTAGACAGTACCTGCATGGAGACTTGCCAGGGCCAGGAGTGGGGGATCGCCTCTACTCCATTAACCACCCTTGTGGTTGCTGTATTGGGTTTCACTTCTGGGTTTCCACAGTTTTCTGGCCAGCCTGGGAGGAGAAAATGTACAATTCAGTTGTGTATAAATAAGACATCATCTGTATGAGATAAAAACATGTGAAACAGGTACATGTGTAGTCAGTGGAGGATTAAATTATAACTTCAGAAGCAGAAAACAGGGGATCCAGTTTCAGATTCTACTGCGGCTTATTTCATATTAAAAAATAAACTGGGAAACTGGGAACCTCCACATGAGATCACCCCACATCAGAAATACAAGGCTGCTATCAGTTAAACTAAGACTACACTTACTGATAGTAATATTGTCCCATGGTTTAGGTGGTGGAGGAGGTAAAGTTGGGATAACACTGGTATCAGTGGTCCAGTAACCACGAAAACCTTGCTGTTGATTGGCTCCGTTACTAAGGAAGCGAATGACGGCCGTGTTGCTAGGAATGGTGATGATGGATGGAGGGGCAAAGCCACAGAATCGACCTGCACGACACACGAGAAATTAAGAGTTTTTTCATTATTGTGTGGCAAAGTGACACCAGCATCTGTCAAGACAATGACACTGATAACACAGACCTGTACAGGAAATACTTCCAAAAAAACAGAACACAAAATGGACACAATAGAATTTGTTGTAACCAACCTAGTGATGCCATGGTGTCTCCGTTGAAGATCTCCACATAGTCCACACACTTTCCTAACATGTTTACAGCTTGCAGCTCAAAGTGAGTGAAGGCTACATGGATACTTTTTCCTGAGGGAACGGTGATGCGCCACGTGCACACAGACTGGGAATGGTAGTCACTGGGCCAGTTAGGAGAGGTGATTTCACCCTGATCACCGCTGAAGCTTCCTCCACAAGGAGCTGAGTGTGTGTGTGTGTGTGTGTGTGTGTGTGTGTGTGTGTGTGTGTGTGAAGGAAAAGAAAAGAGAAAAGGACATTAGTTTTCCCCAGAGGCTATTTCCTCAGTGTGTTGTCAGGTATACCTTTCTTCTGTCTTACCCTCTGTAGGGTCCACTGCTCTCCAGGTGGCAGTGAAGCCAGTGTCCACCACCTTGTCATTGGAGGAGAAGGCGATGTGAAGTGTATCTCCATCGCTCACCAGGTCTTTAGGCGGCACCTGGCTGCAGTAGGTGCCTGAGGAAAGGTGAACATGAGGAAGTGTTAGCCTGACTTCTCTGAGAAGTCTATTAACATCTTTATCAGTGTGTTTATATGCCACTTTATTGTATAGTAAAAAACTGAGGGGAACTGCACACCTACTCTCGGGAGGTGAAGGCAAACTTAAAAAAGAAAAAGAGAATGGAAACTCAATCACTTAATCTCTTCTCTTCCATATATAAGGATTAAGAAGGTTGACTTGGATTCCTCTTGTCCTTTATGTAGAATTTGACATCAGGCCATTTTTATAATGTTTGTGCTTGTTGGTTTCTTAATATGTGGATGTGTTTCTTGGACTGGCCTCTGAAGATGATTGACCTGACATGAAACACTTGCCCTTGTTAGTATAAATGGCTGTCAGGCTACTGTCAGTCAACTCCTGTAAAAACTTGGCATTGCAGTTAAGAGTGTAAAACTTTATTGTGAGATGTCATTCACACAAAACAACAGACTGCAGTAAGCAATCATATCAAAGGGCCATTCAGAAAATGATCTATCAGCTGGAGAGAGAAAGAAAGCAAATATACACATACCTAGACTTCCTGTTCTGTCTGTGAGGCTCACTTTGTCGTTCATGCACAACTGACTCTCCTCCAGGGAGAAATTGTGGAAATGGAGGTGGACCACTTTGCCGACAGGCACCCGGA